AAACTCAACCCCCCCTAAAGTTGTACCCTAAACTCAACTCAACTCCCCTTAAAGTTTGACCCTAAACTCAACCCTCCCCCCTTAGAGTTTGACCCTAAACTCAACCCCCCCTAAAGTAGTACCTTAAACTCAACCCAACCCTCCTTAAAGTTCGACCCTAAACTCAACCCGCCCCCACCCCCTAAAAATGTTCGTGTACCTGAGCAAGAAGATAGCGATTCCCAACAACTTCCGCCTGAACTGCATCTCGTGGAACCAAAAGCAAGGCTACATAGCAGTAGGCGGTGAGGAGGGTCTCCTGAAGGTCCTCCGCGTGGACTCGAACCCCCCGAGTGCAGGCCTCCCCACAAAACCCCGTGGCCTCCCGGGCACGAGCAACCTCAGCATGAACCAGACCCTGGAGGGTCACCAGGGTCACGTCCAGGTGGTCACCTGGAACGAGGAGTACCAGAAGCTGACGTCGAGCGATCAGAACGGCGTGATCGTCGTCTGGATGTTGTACAAGGGTTCCTGGTACGAGGAGATGATCAACAACCGCAACAAGTCAACGGTCAAGGGGATGTCCTGGAGCGTCGACGGCCAGAAGATCTGCATCGTCTACGAGGACGGGGCGGTGATCGTGGGCTCCGTCGACGGCAACCGAATCTGGGGGAAGGAACTCAAGAACACACCCCTGACGAGTGTCCAGTGGTCCCCGGACGGCAAGCTCCTGCTGTTCGGCCTGAGGACCGGCAACATTCACCTCTACGACAACCAGGGGACCTTCCTCATGAACATCAACATGAACCTGCCCGTCACACCCCAGAACATCGTCGCGATGCACTGGTACAGCGGTAAGCACGGCTTCATCGGCGTGGACTGTCCGTCCTTGGCGATCTGCTACGACTCAGGAAGGGTCCACCTGCTGAGGGACACCAACGACGACAGCCCGGTGATCATCGAGACCGGGATCACCAATGTCTGGTGCGCCTGGAACACCTACGGGTCCCTCCTGGCGGTCACTGGAGTCCAGTCGATCATCGTCAGCGGGGAGGCCAAGGACTCCAATGTCATCCAGTTCTACACACCGTTTGGACAGCAAGTCAGGACGCTGAAGATACCCGGGAAGGAGGTGACCGCGTGCTCCTGGGAGGGGGGCTCCCTCCGGGTCGCCCTCTCCGTCGACTCGCACATCTACTTCGCGAACATCAGGCCCGACTACAAGTGGACGTACTTCAGCAGCACCGTTGTCTTCACCAACGAGAGGGTCACCAAGGACGGTGTCTGCATCACCTTCTGGAACACCAGCAACAACTCGTGCTGCACCAAGTACGTGAGATCGCTGATCTCGATAACGTCTTCGGGGGAGCACTGCGCGCTCGCTGTTCGAAATGATCTGAATCAGGAGAGCGAGGAGTTCATTCTCATCGTTTGTAACACCATTGCCACTCCCATTGACACCAAGTACCTGGACCTCGAGCCCAGCTGGATCACCATGACCAGTAATTCGGTGATAGCAGCGTCCAAGAACAACTTCGTCATCTGGAATTTCAGGATTCCAAAGTCCGCTAGTTTGAGCTCGTCTAGGATGAGGAAGGATCGGATGTACCACGTGGACGACACCCCCACGGGGGTCACCGAGGTCATCCAGGACCTCGACAGGGATCGATCCTTCGAGACGCCGGTGAACAAGAAAGCGACGATGGACCCCATCTGCTGCGTGGGCGCCAGCGAGAAGATTCTCCTCGTGGGAAGGGAGTCCGGGATGATCCAGAGGTATTCGCTGCCCCAGGTCACTCTGACCAATCGGTACACGGTTGCATCGAGACCTCAGAGGATCTCCATCAACTGCGACTCCAGTCGAGCTGCCATTCTGGATGTCTCGGGGGTCCTCACGATGCTGGATCTGGAGCACGTGAGGAGTGAGGGTGGGGAACAGGATGTCTCCAAGTTCGAGAGGAAGGACGTGTGGGCGGTGTGCTGGGCTGTCGACAATCCAACGCTTCTTGCCATCATGGAGAAGACGAGGATGTACGTCATCAGGGGGTTGGACCCCGAGGAGCCGATCTCCTGTTCCGGGTATGTCCGGAGGTGTTGACGGCGGCGGAGGACAACCTTTTGTTTTAATTTCAATATTCTCGAAACAGATTTTTGAATTAACAGTGAAAGAATAGTCTAAAGGATTATTTTTCATCTGTTTTAGTTTTTATGAGGACGACGCATTGCAGTCCTTTTCGGGCGTCAAAATTGAATGTACCTCTAACCATTACAGCACAATTCATTATACCATTTGATTACGGCACATTTCATTACGGCATGTTTCATCACAGGAACAGTTGATTACGGGCAGAATTAATTCTTGTACAACTTCATTGCAATTCATTCAATACAATTTAATAACAAATTTTGAAAAAAATGGAGCTTCTGCATAACAATTCAATAACAATACACTTAATTACAAAATCCCTCCTGCATGGATAATTCCACTTGTCCCAGCCCAATCAATTCCTAAATAAATAACAACAATGATTCATGACAATTCCTTTAAATACCCATTATCACAGGTTTTCCTACACAACCATATAGCGGGCAAGAGTATTACAATGGTGAATCGTACCATAATCCAAGCATCTCCACAAAATTATATTAGTGACAGGATGTTCACGTGATTTATTAAACAAAAACCCCTTATGAGAAAGCAATTTCTTGCCTGTCTGACTCAAAACAAAGTGTAGAGGCATTTCGACAACCACACAGCACTAAATCCGTGCGATAAATGGCACTTGGTGTCCCACTGGACTCAGGTACCTCACCTCCCAGCGTTAATTTCTATTTAAAGGCGATTACAGGGAAATCAATCACACACCGACGAATTAAATCGTTGCATTTGGATTAAAATGAGGTGAAAATAGAAGCCTTGAATCTAAATCTAAATTGGTGAAGCCCGCAATAATCAATAATTCCGTGATGAATTGTCCGTACACTCAAAAGCACTGTGATGAATTTTCCCGGTAATGAGTTTTTGTGATGAAATGTGCTGTAACTACACAATTGTAATCAATAGAGGTAATACCAAATTTTACAATATTTTAAATTTGGATAAATATCGTCAAACTTTGTACAATATAATGAGATAATCCTTCTTAATATTGCCGAAGTCTAATATTATTGCCCATCGCATTACGGCTTCGCTACTGATTTCATAATCCTTATTTTATAACAATGATGAATTCCCAATAAAATGATTCAAAAATGGTTTTTCGCCGTTACAGGTACATCTGCTCCTTCCAGGACCTCGAGATTCGGTGCATTCTGCTGGACGACTTGGTCCACAAGCCTGATGACATCAGGTCTGAGCTGATTGTCGACCTTGAGGTGAAGTCGCTGAGGGACACCAAAGAGCTGTTGTCAAAGGTTGGCCTGAAGGAGGCGTACGACTTCATCCAGGATAATCCTCATCCGAGGCTGTGGCGACTCCTTGCTGAATCGGCGCTCAAGTCGAGGGACCTGGAGATGGCGGAGAACGCGATGGTGCGTTGTACTGACTACCTGGGGATCCAGTTCATCAAGAGACTGCACACTGTTCATGCTGACCAGCTGAAGAAGGCTGAGGTCGCGGCGTTTCTTGGCAACTACGATGAGGCTGAGAAGCTCTATCTGGAGTTGGATCGAAGGGATTTGGCGATCACCTTGAGGCAGAAGCTGGGGGACTACTTCAGGGTTCTTCAGCTGATGAAAATGGGGATTGGGGGCTCGGACAAGCAGATGGAGCTGGCTTACAACAAGATCGGGGATCACTTCGCGGAGAGACAGAACTGGGAGGGGGCGAAGGAGTATTACGAGAAGGGGAGGAACCTGGAGAGGCTCATTCAGTGTTACTACAGGCTCGAGGACTATGAGCTGCTGGCCGAGACTGTGGACCAGCTGCCGGATAAATCCCCCACTTTGAAGACTGTCGCCAGGATGCTGGCGTCTGTGGGGATGTGCCCGCAGGCTGTCGCTGCGTACATCAAGTATGGAGATGTGAAGCAGGCGGTGGATACCTGTGTGAGGTTTGTAATATCGTTGGATTTATTTCGGACAAATGATTTTTCTTCGTAGCACAGGTACACGTATGAAAAAATTTTGTAGAAAAAATCTTGCGAATTCGGTAGACAATTCTACTGTAATGTTCAATAGAAAATATTCTATAGACAAAGTATATAGAATTCAGTAGCGAAGTGGTAAAACGGTAGAAGTCAATTTTGACTATTGATCAGTCTTCAATGAATATCTCGGAATCTAAGGGAGATAGCAAAATTTTTGTTATAACCTTTTTTGTAGAGCCCATTGAGAGCTACAACAAATGTAATTACAAAAATTTCGCTATCTCCCTTAGATTCGGAAATATTCCTTAAAAACTCAACTGGGAGATGAGTCGATTGGAACCGTTTTACCACTTCGCTACTGAATTAGATTTTTCTATGCAACTTATTCTATTGCCATATTTTCTATTGTCTTTCTCGGCTCAAATTTTCCAAGTTTTTCTGTTCGACTTTGTCGATGAAAAGACAAGAAAAATAGAGTGAAAAAAATTGGAAAATTTCTCAATACAGTAAGTTGTGCACAAAAATCTAATTCTATTGACTTTTTTTACAGAATATTTTCTATTTAGTTTTAATTGAATTTAAACGATTACTAAACTTGCATTCAGAATAAAAAATCTAGTGAACTCAATAGAAAATTATATTGAATATATTCCAGAGCCTGATGAAGCTAAAATAATTTAACGAAACGTCGCACTATGACAATTTAATCGACATTATTATTTCTCCAATATGCCCTCACCTTTCTTACATTGATTATATTGAACTTTTATTGGAAATTCTATTAGTTTTCGGCTGATTCTATTGAAGAAATCCCCAGCTGTACTGTTTAATTTACTACGAGATTCATCCGATTTTCCCCAGAAGTATTTTCGTACGTGAAAATTTTCAGGACGCAGTGATTCAAATGAAACCCATTACAGGTTGAACCACTGGGACCAAGCGGTGGACCTGGCGAAGACCTACAAGATGGCTCAAATCAATGATCTCATGAATAAATACGCTAATCATTTATTGTCGAATGGGAAGAGACTGCAGGCGATCGAGTTGTATAGGAGTGCCAACTGCTTTCTGGAGGCTGCCAAGCTGCTGCTGCGACTCGCTGAAGAGCAGACGAGGCTGAGGGCCAATCCCCTGAGGGTGAAGAAGATTTATGTGCTGGCGGCGCTGCTGATTGAGGACCACATCAACAGCACCCCTGCGATGAAGGGGGGTCGGAGCAATGTCATCATGGGGCTGACCGAGAACAATGAGGACTCCAGGGTTATCGAGAATGCTTGGAGGGGAGCGGAGGCCTTCCACTACCTGTTGCTTGCGCACAGACAGATCTACAGCGGAGACTTCGATGCTGCGATGAAGACGTCGTTGAGGCTGAGGGAGTACGAGGACATCCTGGATTCAGAGGATGTTTATTGTCTGCTTGCTCTGTCGAGCTCGGTCAACAGGGCGTTCTCCACTTGCTCCAAGGCGTTCATCAAGCTGGAGAGCCTCGAGAAGATCTCGGAGGCTAAGAGAGAGGAGTACGAGGAGCTTGCGCTGAAGATCTTTCTGAATAACCCCCCGAAGGACTCGAAGAACGCAAAGTCGGAGTGTGTCAGCTGCGAGAGTCTGGTGCCTGATTGGTGTGTCGCCTGTCCCAATTGCGCCACTAGGTTTCCAGCCTGCGTTGTCACTGGACGACCTCTTATGGATCTCACTAATGCCTGGATCTGCACTGTGTGTCGACATCATGCAGCTGGGGAGAGGGATGTCGTCAATCTTGGCTCGTGCCCACTTTGTCACAGTACTATTACGTACATGTAATTTTTGAGGGAGAATGGGGCGGAATTGACTGACAAATGAACTGAAAAAGTCCATTTGCCTCTCGTCGATTTGGGACGGATGTTTTGGTAGAAAAAAGTCAATAGATTTGGGTTTTTCTACGCGACTTATGCTGTTGGTATTTTTCCTCATTTTTGCTCCTTACAAAATGCAAGGAAAAAAGTTGGACAACTCGTGTCCACAAACTTTAATAGAAAAAATTGCAATTTCTATGATGACGATTTGAGAAGGTTCATGGAGTCTTGTTATTTCCCAGTGTTTTGTGGGAATTGAAAGTATTGTCAGAAATGTAATCCGTCCAATTTTCTTCGGTGTGTCGTCCAGTCATTTTAATCATGATGTAAGTTTAGGTTTTCATTGTTTCTCAATTTTACATTCTATGTAATTGATATAAAATTAGATCTCAAATAAATTTCAATAATTGTAAATTTTATATTACTGTTTTTTAAAATGAATGAATGAATGAATTCAGGATATCAAGAATATATTTCGGCCTTTGNTTGGAATTGTTAATTTACACAATAATAGGAGTGCATTGACGATTTTTTCTTAACTCGCAAAAATCTTCAAACAATTTGCTACCGATTGGTGATAAAATTTTTTGGAAATAATGAAATAGGGGGGATAACGCCTTTTTTTTCAGGGGTGATTTTTCAAAAATTTATTTTAAAAAAAGTACCAACTAGCAAATGTTTTTTATTAGCTCGCAATTTTCTTCAAAACTACTTCAATGAGGAAAAAAATAAAAATTTGGAATATTTATACATCAGGGGCTAATTGATCGGATCTAGTCCGTCGCAGCCGCAAGGTTAGGTAGAGGATAGCTGGCGGAGTAAACCAAATGGTTTAAAATGCCGTACATAAAAAAAAAATTATCTAGCGAATTTACGAGATTTCATATATTTTTTTTTAATAGAACACTACCGCCGTCTCAAAGAAATTCTATTAAATTACCATTGTAACTACAAGAATCCTCTTGAAGTTCTACTAGATTATTTGTGGTAGTTAAAAGTATTACAAGACATGAAATTTTCATTTTCATTCTCAATTTTAAATTCTGCGTAATTGATGTAAAATTAGACATAAAATAAATTTCAATAATTCTTAATTTTAGAATACTGTTTTTTTAACAAATTAATTAATTCATGAATTGTGCCTGTTGTATTAAAAATAGGACATTAGAGTGAAATGGAAATTAAAAAAGAAAATTGCAGTAATTAATAATCGTGACAGCCGTGCCAGCATTCTTTCTACACTTGTGACTACTTTTGCAGAAGAATTATGTCTCCGTGACGTTTGTAAGGTAATTTTTTCGGCATAATTGACGGTTGTAAATTTCAAATCAGTTGCTCTGTTGCTTGAGGAGATTGAATATGGAATAGGATGTTTTGATGAGCTGAAAGACAACAAAATCAAATTATTGATAAAATTGAAACAAAAGAATTGGCAGTTCATAACAATAAATGGTGACACGTCTAAATATTACGGTAAAAAATATCATGCGTCAAAATATCACAAAAAAATATTATTGACACAAATATCACAGGTCAAAAATATCACAAATCAAAAATATCACGTGATAAATTATCACGCGTTAGAATATTGCGCGTTCGGATTACATTTATATTTGCACATCTGCTACCGCAAGAAATCAATATATTTATTTTTCACTGGGCGATGGCTGATCACGACTATTATTCGAGGTGGGCTCCTGAATTGTAAACACGATAACACATTTAGTACTCAATGGTCAGTGCGATAAGTTCATTATGGGTTTAACTTTTATTTTAAGTCAAAAAGGGAGGAAATTGTTGATAGTTCCTCTTTTTCGTATCTTTTCTGAAAATATATATTTTTTTACATTGTTTATTTCTCATTACCACATTTGGGGGATATTTTGTCGTGTGATTTTTTTGTCGTGTGATATTTTTGTCGTGTGATATTTTGACGTGTGATATTTAGACATGTAACCCAATAAATAGAACAGAATTGGGAAGAGGACATAAAAAATTGGGTTCATCAATGAAACTTCAGAATTGAATAATTGAAAAAGCATTCTTACTCCACCGAATGAATCCAGAGACAACTGCACTATGTAACCACTCGTGAATCTAAAAGGCTTCAGGCTTCTGCTCATTATCAGCACCAAGCTCTTCTTCGTAGGTGTTTTTAATGCCGACCAGTACATATTGTAAACCGCCTGAGAAACTCTGAAACTCTTTCGGTTTAAAGATTTCTCATTAATAATACAGGTAGGGGAGGGTAGGGTAAAATGGACACTTTTGACTTTTTTAAAAATATTCATAACTCAGGAACAGATTTATCAATTGAGCTCAGTCTGAGCTCATCACAAAGAGGAATCATTGTTTTTCAATTGAAAAATAAAATCATTTCATTTCATGAACAATTCAACACGCCATGAATATTTTAAAAAAAAGTCAAAACTGTACGTTTTACCCTACCCTCCCCTACTTGTGGCAAAATTGGTGTCCGCCTAAAATTCCTTTGGCAAAAATATTTTGGAAAAATTTACTTGACAAATAATTACTTTGGAAAAAAAAATTGAGAAAAAAACTGGAAATTTTTATTCACAGAAATTTAACAATTACATCTTCGGCACTAGCTGGCTCATGTGGCGTGGAATTTAAATTTCCACGCCACCTGAGCTTCCATTTAAAACCTTCATTAATGTAAGGGTCCAATTCTTGTAATATTACAGAAATTTAATATTGATGGGGATCCCTGGAGATTTCCAACGGAATTCTACGAGAAATTCAATATAATTTTCTAGACAATACGCTATAGGTGTTTCCATTAAATTTTATTGTACCTGGGAATTGCAACATTTTGAGGAAATAGTATATTGTGCATCAAGGGCGAAAAGTCATGTTTTCCCGCCCCAGGTGCACATGCTATTTTTTATCACGCCTGCAAAGGAAAGTTCGTATTTTGCTCTTTGATGAGCGGGAGAAAAGTGAGTACTTTCCACCCGAGGGCGGGAAGTACTCACTTTCCTTCCGCTCATCAGGGAGCAAAGTCCGAACTTTCCGTGCAGGTGTGTGAAAAAAGGGTATCCTCACCTCTGTAGTCACGTTATGGCCATAGTAGCAAGGCAGGAATATATCGAAAAGCATGCACCCCAAGTACATGAGAACGCCTATCAATTCAGGATCCAACCCAGACATTTTCGATACTTTATAAACTGTTCCACAGAGGATGAATGAACTTGCCGCGTACTGGGCGAGCATAGTTGCACCGAAAACGTCATTGGACATCTCCATGCATCTGCAGTAGGTAATTAAAAAAATAGTATATTGTGCATCAAGGGCGGAAAGTCAAGACTTTCTGCCCGAGGTGCACATGCGATTTTTTAACACGCCTGCAAAGAAAAGTTCGTATTTTGCTCTTTGATGAGCGGGAGGAAAGCGAGTACTTTCTGCCCTAGGGTGGAAAGTTGTTTCTAAGGGCGGAAAGTCTTGACTTTCCGCCCGAGGGAGTAACTTTTTACCCTAGGGTGGAAAGTGCTCACTTTCCTCCCGCTCATCAGGGAGGAAAATATGAACTTTCTCTGCAGGAGTGTGAAAAAGTCGATTTTAACGAGCAATAGGCACTTGAGTCAACGAAATATTTTTGTGATGCCAAGGGAGAAATTGTTTCATCTGAACATACAAAATTTCTAAAGATGAATAACAAGATGATTCAATGAATTGGGGGTTTCGTGACTTTGAGAATCTGCATTTTGCGGATAATTTTCGATCCTCTGACGACGATAGATCATCTGATCGAAAAATCTGATCTGATGCTGAAAATTTTGGTAGAACTTTGCTCATGTTTCGCTCGAGATTTGGAAGGGGCAGCATGAACATACAGATATTTTGACTTTGCTTTCAACAACGAAACATTTCACGGACGAAAAAATTTAATAGAAAAACCTATCGAATTCGTCAGAAAATTCTATTGAATTTCTATTGAACTGTTTTATTAGTTTTTGGCCGATTCTATTGAGATATTTTCTATAGAATTTCCTCGGCTCAAATTTTCTAAGTTTTTTCGGTTGATTTTCTTGATGAGAAGAAAAGAAAAATAGAATGAAAAACTTGGAAAATTTGAGTCGAGCAAATTTTATAGAAAATATATGAAAGGAATAAGTTATATAGAAAAATCGAATTCTGTTGACTTTTTCTATTGAATGTTTTCTATTGAATATGTCAATAGAATCAGCCAAAAACTAATAGAAAGTTTAATAGAAATTCAATACAATTTTCTAACGAATTCGATAGGTTTCTCTATTAATTTTTTTCGTCCGTGTTGGATCAAAAGTATGAGAATATCTCTCATTATCAGAAGTAAGAGAATATCTCTGATTCGCTTTCTGAAATTATATACTCAACTCAAATATACACAAATGATGTTTGATACACTCGGCTAGTTTCTCCCTCTCCATCATCACGATCCCCTCATGATCATCATTCTCTCTCATTTTCGAGAGCCCTTTTCCACTTCCATCCGCGAACCCCAGGGACGCGGCTAAATTTTCAAATCGATGATTGAGGATAACAAATTGCGCAGTGATGTGTATCATCAATGCAGCGACGATAACGCCGTACGTACAACTGACACTAGCATCGGCGAGCTGACAGATGACTTGGTGCATGTGGGAAATCCAGAAGGTGAGGGGATAAGAATTATCGTACGGCAACCAGGCTTTGTAAATAAGCTCTCCACGCGGTACCAATTCCCGCCATTGGACGTAAGTCTGGAATATCACCGTGCACATGGTGAAGCTTATATAACATAAGCTCAAGTTACTGGAAATTATAAAAGTAAACAACTCTATGAAAATGATAAATGAAACTATGTGAAAAAATTGAGTGAAAAATTGCAGGCGGCTGTATCTTCACGGAGAGATACTTTCTAGAAAAATTTTGACTTGAATCAGGGCTCGAAAGCAATAACACTCCCCTTCCGTTTCACACCCCGGTGATCTACGGGCGAAACACCTTAAGGATAATCGGGTGAGCCCAGAGTGTTAGAAAAAAAGCAGCCATTTTTGTTATGTATTCTTTAAATGATGGAAAAGGCGTGTGCAAAGTTTCAGACTGCTGGGAAGCATGGTTAATTTATTATGAATTTTTGAAAAAGTGGTCATTCAACCCGTGATCTTATGGAAATCACCAAAAAACTGCAAAACCCAAGGAAAAAATGCAGCCAAAGTCATGAAACTTTAGACATATTTAGAACATGTGATCAATGATTTTTTGAGTGAAAAAGATTGTCGCCTAGTAGCATTATTCATTAATAATAGCGAAAAAAGTACTGAAAAATGAAATCTCTGGGCACGCAGTCCAAACGAGCCGCAACGTCCCAAGTACCGATCGGGTGGGGGTAGCGCGGTCAATTTAAACGTCTCTTGAGAGAGAGCGATGAAGCGTTGTGATTGAGCTCCCTCGAGCCAGTGGTACCAGCTCCTGGTGAAAAAAAAACTACCGACGATGTTGCCACTTTTTTGCATGGATTAATATTTTTTTATTTATTAAAAAAAACAATCTGAAAACCATTCAATGCGTGGAACAGATACAAATAAATTTGATTAGCTCCAAAAATAATTTTTAACCGGAGATACTCCCTAATATTGCCTGAATTTCGAATCCGAATGGAAAATTTTTTTTTGTTCAGCGATTTTTTTTTCTGCAGGAAAACAATAGAAACCCCTCCGCCCCACCTCCTACATTTCCTCCTCGCCCGATTATCCTTAAGGATATCCAAGTACTTCGTTCAAGTTAGGAACTTTTTTTCAAGCAAGATTTCAGTTTTATCGAAAATCTGGCCATCCCCATACTTTTTTGGATTTTTCATTGTTGAATACATTTTTTCGGGAATTTCTTCAATGAATATTGTGAACAATATTTTATTCAATTTCACACTCGACTGTCGGTCTAACCTTTAATGATCATGTGGCAACACTGCACATGTGTTCCATATAACCTCGTAAATTCGGTCCGAGTAGTCACTTGAGCGGACCGTTGCTAGACGTCAGAAACGCGCGGATTCAAAACACCCAATATGGCCGTCGTACCAATCAAGAAGCTTTTAATTTGATTGTTTGCAATTATCTGTCCGGAAACTTATGTTTTTTAATGTCGCAAAAAAAACTAGAGAGTATAACGAACAAAGTCATATACGATTATGTGTACGAGAAAACGCTTTACGACTATGAACTATTGGATTGAAGGTGGGAGTATACAGCTCTTATGGACGCAATGTGTTAAATTTCATTTTTTCAAAAATCGTTTTCTCCAACATATGTTCGCAAACTAAAGTTTATACTGCACCTAAAAAATACCCTTGGTCTAGTCTATAAACTCTGAAGGGGATTTCCCCCAGAAAAAATTGCTTGAACTACTTGGATATCCTTAACACTCATCCAGAGAATAAGCCCATGGTGTGATAAAGAGCAAGTCTACAATTTCGTGCGGTTGTTTATTCATTATCTCTCGGCCACACTCTTCATACTCAATAAGTTTAAAAAATAAAATAAAGTGTTTCAAAAGAATTTATTTTAAAACTACATTTTTTAATTAACACACTTCTGATATTTAATGGAATCCCTGTGCAGGAATTTCCGCCTAAAGACCGTTCAATACAAAAGAAAATTCTTCGCGTTTAAATTACGTTATTATGATTGCATTACCCATCACATAAGTAACCCTGCGTTTATTAAGTTTCATAGGAAGTCTCGAAAGGCCATTCAGCCAATCCACAGCAGGAAAGGCTTTTTGAAGAAGAGAAAAACTGCCGAAACTTCCAAGGTTTATCGTATTGATTGGGTTATTGTCCAAGCGAAGATGTTTCAAACGATCAAGACCAGCAAACATGTCAAGATGTAGAACCGTCAATTTATTTCTCCCTAAGTCCAGAAAGTCCAGGCCGCTGAATTGCGTGAAAGTTCCATTTTCTATCGTATGAATTTGGTTATTGTCCAAGGAGAGATATTTCAAATTATCAAGACCAGCAAACATTTCAGGAGATAAAGTCTTGAAGTAATTTCCACGCAGGGTCAGGGAGCGTATGCCGCTCGATTGTTTGAAAGTGTTTGGCTCGATAATGCTCAGTTGATTATGGTCTAAATCCAGAGACAGGTTACCATGACTGTTGATGTTGTCAAAAGTTCCAGGTTTTATCGTATGGATTTGGTTACGGTCCAACCGTAGATTTGTCAAATGATCAGGAAACATACCAGGATTTAGAACCTGTAAGATATTTTGCGACAGTATCAGGTACTCCAGTTTGCGGAATTGCGTGAAAGTATTTGGCTCGATGACTCCCAGCGCATTATATTCTAAACGGAGAATGCTCAGGCTATTTTTTATATCGGCGAAAGCTTCGGGTTCTATCGTATGGATTTGGTTATAGTTCAAGACAAGGTGGTCCAAATTATCAAGACCGGCAAAAATATGAGGAGATAAAACCTTCAAGTTACTTAACGATATTTCCAGGGATCTCAGGCCGCTCAATTCCATGAAAGTGTTTGGCTCGATGACTTCCAGCAGATTTTTTTGTAAAATGATTTGCTCCAGTTTAGCCGAGACATTGGCAAATGTTCCAGGTTTTATCGTGTCGATTTGGTTATTGTTCAATATAAGAGTCTGCACTTCACCAGTAAACATGGCAGGAGTTAGAGTTTTCAAGCTATTATAATTCAATGTCAGAATGCGCAGGTCCCTGAATTGCGTGAAAATATTTGGCTCGATGGTTGTCAGCTGATTACGATCTAAGTAGAGATACTGCAGTTTATCCGTAATATTGGCGAAAGTTCCAGGCTGTATTGTACGGATTTTATTGTTTATCAAGTCAAGAAATTTCAAATGATTAAGACCAGTAAACATGTCAGAATGTAGAACATTCAAGTGGTTTTCCGACAAGTCCAGATGGGTCAGGTTACTCAATTGCGTGAAAGTATTTGGCTCGATTTCCTCCAGCCTAATATTGTTCAAACTGAGTTTCTTCAGGTTGGCCATTATTGCGGTGAACGAATTGGGAGATAAAGCCCTGATGTTTTGATTTTGTATCGTTATGGAATATAGGTCATCTCGGTTGGTAATGTTTGTAGGGAATGCCGTTAAGCTATTGCTGATTAGGGTAACATTGCCGATGCTCGTGTTTCTTGGTAAATCAAAATCTCTGTGTAACTTTAGGCTCTCTACAGATACAGACCTCAGCATCGCTGATTTTTGCAATTTGCCCATGGGTAATCTCTCTATGGGCAGTCTAGTGCCGTAAAAAAGACTCGGGTAAACAGCCACATCAATTACTGTCCCAACAATTACTGTGTCGAGACCATTTTCGTAAATGTATTCCTGAGTGACTCTAACCAGAACGGTCGAATTTTCGGCCATTTTGCACACAACGTAGTTTTCTTTGGCCGTGGTGCTGCAGGAACCGAAGGGATTCCCCGGATCTGTTGCCGTGGTTGAACATGCTGATACAAATATGAGAACCGAGATGAGTAGGAATTTTCCCATCTTTGAAGATACTCTGAAGTCTCACTTACTGCAACATTTCGATCAGCCGTCATTTTTATAGTTTTGTTTGAAGGCTAGTGGGAGAAGCGGTGCTCGTGACGCCCAGCGGGTATAATACCCGCTTATCTTTTCTATATTTACCACAAACATTTGACACTTTTGTTTTTTTCAAGGTACTCTCGCAGTACAATTCTGGGGTATCAAGTTCGACTTGACCAGGAAAAGTAGCCTCCGTTGCCATCCAACGTGATATGAAATCCAAGTGATCTTGGTCGCAAAAACGGTTAACACATACGTGTTCAGGGACCCCAGAAACATAAAGTCCAATGATAAAATTTAATGCACCTAAAAGTGTACCAGAGATAGGCATAATCATAAATTACAATTGTCATTAATTTCATAAATACTCAATCAAGTAACAGAACTTGACAATTTTCAATTATTAAATGAATCAACAATTAAATGTATAAATTCCGAATTATTTTACAAATTAATAATCGAATTCGGAAGATTGACAATTATTCGATAATCTCTAATATTTTTAGGGAATTTCCAATTATTTATCTAACAGTTATTTGAAAATTTAAATTCTCAATTATTTTATTATTTTCCAAATTCCAATGATAAATGAATGAATTCAATTATTTTAAGGAAAAATTCTCTCAATATTTCTAAAATAATGATTGATGCCGATCACTGAAGTGTACTCGGGACCTGTCACAGCGTGTGGACTAATTCGAAAGCAAAAATTGTTGAACAATTTTTATGATTGGGGAAATTATGATTTTTTAGTTCCGAAGTATTGGCTACTTCCATTAGCTACTCAAAATTTTCGAGAAATTTGTAATTCATGCATTAAGCTTAATTCTATAATTATCGGTGGAAACCGAACTTATTCAGGGTGCCCGGCGAATAGTTTCTTCGAAATTCCATGACTTTTTCCTGTTTTCCTGACCAAAGTGATATCATTCCCTGATCTTAGAAAACGTTCATTAGGGCCCAACGGAACCCACACGGAAAAATTTATATTTTGAAAAATATATTTAAAAATATCTTAAATTGACCCAATTTATATTAAAAAAATATATAAAATATATGGTTTATATATTTTTTATATAAATATAAAAATATGAGGATCTATTATATTTTATATACAAATTTGAGAAATATATGGAATTGGCCCATGTTATATATTTTTTAAATATATTTTTTGACGAACGTCGTTTTTTTGAGCAAAACGATCATGAAGGTAAAACGGGAAATACTTCTTCTAACAATATGCGATTCCATGAATAATAAAACTTGATGCCTCTACCATCACACAATAACAAGGTAATAAAAAACAATTTTGTTCCATGAGTGATTAAAAAGGTAATCAGAATGCCATTGTCGCTAGTAACCATTAATATTACATTTAAAGATAACCATTGTAAATTACAGAAGTGATAAAAATAAGATATTCACCATTGATCACTAATGGGGTAGAAAAATCCATTAAAGTATGATAAAATCATTTCCAAAATGAAAATTGACAGATTGTATCATAAAATTACCACACTTTTTTAAGAAAATTATAGTGCGATTTCGCAGTTTTATAAGGATTGTACCGTGATTCACTCTTCTGATGTCTGTGTTTGAATTTTTTCATGCAAATATGTTATATGTTGTAAATTTATGATTTTTTTTAAACGGTGTAGAAGGCGCGGGCTACCCTCCCAAGTGTCAGAGAACAATTTTCCCACGAGTGTCGAACCCTATTCTTCATCACATTGTTTTACTTTATGCACAAGTGATAAAAACCACGAAATAAATTGGTTAATAGAAAATCTAGAGTTCCATATTTTTAAATATTTAATTTATCATCAATTGGAAATTTAGATTATCAACTATTTTACTATTTTCAAATTTTGATTATAATATTTAAGGCCCGGGTGGATTATCTTTCGAATGTGATCTTGGTTTTTTTTTATTTTGATAATCTGAAATGATCTTCAATTACTATTCAGTTTTACATAGCCTTGGAGTCTCAAAAAATTATGATTGTACAATCAAAAAAACGTTGAAAAAAAGCTGAACATTTTTAAAGAGCGTTTTTGAATAATATTGGGAAATAAACCCAATAGGGAGGAAATAACAAATGAATAATTTGATGTATCTAATGGCTGTTAGGTTGTCAGTTGCCACAGTAGTCAATGGCTGTCAGATGATTAGTTACCATGATAAATTATCCATTGACAATTTCCTCTCTATCGTACTTATTTCTCAATCTCTATTAAGAACGCTCTTTGAAAATGTTCAATTCTTCTTCTACTTTTTTTCATTGTACAATCTTAATTTTTAGGGACTCCTGGGTGATGTAAAATCCAATGGCAATTATAATGTATTATAACATTCTGAAGATGGAAAAACAATCGAGATAACGTTCGAAAGATAATTCACCCGGGCCTCAAACAAAAAACAAATTCCATAAATGACGAAATAATTCTTACTGGATGACCCGTTCGTACTTGAATCGAATGAACTCCTCCGCTTCATCCCTCGGTGAACACATCTGACTCCGGTACCTCCGAAGCAGATCGACAATCTCCTGACGTCGACGGACAAAACTCGTCGCTTTCAACCCACTATTAATAGTCGTGAGAAGAATAAAAGTGTTATCAATCAGCACATCGACACTCTCGAACGATGTGAAAACGTAAATTGATTGGAACAGGGCATTCGTGTAGAGGAGAAATAACATGACGTAGGTATAGCAATCGTAGAGCCTCGTCTTCCATCCTTCCTGCCAGGTCGCCGACCGACAGAAGCCCAGCAACTGGAGAATGACAAAACTATAGGGCACCATCGTGAAGGGTCAGGTGAGTCGCCCCTACCAGAGAGAATTCCAGGGCGACTTTTTCCTCGATTTTAACTCTTTTTTATTTCCACGTGGAACTTGGACATTATTCATAATCAGCCGGGAAGTTCTCAAGGGGCTACTGTCAACCGCCCCTTGCAAGTGTTTTCTTATGCACCGTCCGTGCATTTCTTTCGTCGTTAATATGCAAAATTCAGAGATTCGTTGAGCGTTTTTTTCCGTTCGTAGAAAAAAAAATTGTGAGTCTTCGTCGTTCCGCGATCGTGGACTGAGGGGAAAATTTGTTCTGCCGGAAAATTATAATTTCTATTCCCCTGAAGAGATCTTTTGTCGTGTTCAGTCAATTTACTTGTGGACGAAGAAGAAAGTTTCCACCGAAACATTATAATTTTCGTAGTAGTAATTGGTCTCGGGAGATATTTATATGTCTTTCGGGTAAATACATTCGTTCTACAGAGAATTATATGAGGCTCTGGTTTTATCAAGTGAATGTTATTGAGTAGTGCATATCTTTGTCCAATAAACACTTATAATTTCCATAGAACAAATGATAATTTCAAGAGGAAACGACAATTTTCTTGACGAAAACTGTGTTATTGGCAAAACTAAATAATTTCGAGGGGACAATTTTTTTTGGGAAAAAAATATTCTTTCCTCGTCAATGTATTCTTTCTGTAGCATAAACCTGTGGAGTTCGCTCAGATCAAATGATTGTCGTACAATAGATTATATTTTTTCCTGCCAACAGAAAACAATAAATAGAAAAAGTCAACAGAATTCGATTTTTCTATGTAACTTATTCTTTTCATATATTTTCTATAGAATTTTCTCGACTCAAATGTTTTCCATTCTATTTTTCTTTTCTTCGCTTTAAGAAAATCAAGCGAAAAAACTTAGAAAATTTGAGCCAAGGAAATTCTATAGAAAATATCTCAACAGAATAAGTTATACAGAAAAATTGAATTCTATTGACTTTATTTACTAAATATTTTCTATTGAACATTTTAATAGAATCGGCCAAAAACTAATAGAACAGTTCAATAGAAATTCAGTAGAATTTTCTAACGAATTCGATAGGTTTTTCTATTAAATTTTTTAGTCCCTGTTAAGTACTCAAAAAATTTCAAGAGTGATGTTATCTAATTAAGGGCTACAATATTAACCGTAATAAAATATTACAAATTTGGCTATCCCTGCTGCAAAGTTTAAATAATAAAATTATTGTAAAATGTCCGGGAACTTGGGGCCAAATGGGGCTCAAATGGAAGCTCTGAAGTTCGACAGCAAAAGTAGAAAAGCATTTCACTGGAGAAAAAATAGCCAAAGTACTGCGATATCCTCAGGAACCTATAATTCATATTACCCGTTGATGAATCGGAGAGGTGCGGAATCTACAACACAATACAAGATTCGTTGAACAATATTATCTTCTGAAAATTCGGTGAGTACCTTTAAATTCTTCAACTGTATCTGCAAAGGAAACAGAATACTTCCGCAGTTAAGGATGTTTATCCAAAATCACAAGTATTCAAAAAAAATTGATTTTTTTTCAACTTGAGAAACATTTCAATCCACCAAACCACGTTTATTAATTTAGAAATGAAGTGGACAAAATGCACCAAACGCATGCGCTAACATGTGCTTACATGGGACAGAATCTTTCAAATATTTACTCTTTTTGCTCGGGTACCCCGAATTTTTCTCTGGCCATTCGATTCAGTGTAGTTTTGCACATTACCTTCTTTTTTTATTTCTATTTTTAGAGTCTTCTAGTTGGTAAATTATAAATTTCAACATAAATCCCATAAGAGCCCGTGTATAAAGAAAAATTTGCTTATTCATTTCTGGCGAGACTATTGCGATTATAGTACATTACACAACTAGTGCAGAAAGCAGGCCTGCTGGCAGCACGTGTTGCGTCTACTATTTTATATGATAAGTGCGTGATGAAGTTTGGCGGTGGAAGTAATTTTTGGTGGCGTAATTTTAATCGTACGTGTAATCATGAAGAAATTCTATTTCAGCAGCAATTAAACCACGCGAGCCTTTAATAATTAATTACAGAATGTTTGAATTCAATAACTGGATCACAACAATTTCATCAAAATGCTCCATCTTTCTGGGTAAATCGAATCATTATGGCATTAAAAAATTAACTATATTAAAGTAATCATTAAATTAACGACAGAAATGGAGACTCGTTGAAATTAAATTATTCAAGATGACAATAATTTGTTTTTCAGTTACGTATGTGGATTTAATCGACTATTTGACATCCTGAATTGTCTACAATTTTGCATAAGTTCAACAGTACTGTGTATCAGTGTCATTCGACTAGCCCAAATTAATCTATCCAATTGTGATTTTCTCTTCATAATCCTGTACTTGATGTGCATGCTGTTGCAAATATTCATTCTCTGCATTTCTGGGAGTCACGTTATGTTCGAGGTAAAGGTGTAAATGAATATGGATACTATCATTTCTTAATTTATTGTTTGGGAAATTTATTCGTACCGTACCAATCAAGAACCTTTTAATTTGACTGTTTGCAAGTATTTTTTTTTCTATTTCATTGGTTTTATCGAAGTAATTCTCGATTTGAAATCCCTCCTCTAGCCTGCCTCCCCTTCATTCTTTTCCTCTCATTGTTATCTGCGGTATCATGGCCGTCTTACTCTTAGCTGTGCCCCATTCGAGCTAGGACTGCACGGGAAACCATGTAAAACCCCAGTCGCACAGCCGGCCGATTGTGCAGTGCCCTAATATATCCATCTGTCACACTGACTAGATGGAGACACTAGGCCGCTACACCGTACCTACGGCCCAGTTGCACCAAGCCCTATTATCCAAATAAACCCCCGGCTAAAATTTATCCTCGGGGTCAATTATATCGTAGGGTCATAGTTGTTCAATATTTCACCCGAAGAACAATCTTTTATTTATCCTGTAGCCCCATTTGAATCAACACTGATTTAACCTTGGAATTAAATTCTATTTTTTGTTCCTGGAATAAATTTGAGATACTCTTCTGGGTAATATAATCCATCAAACATCCAAATTTACTTTTTTTCTTATCTGACGTTTTCGTTACCCGGAGCTGGTGCAACCGGACCTTAATGTCGCAAAAAAAACGAGAGTATAACGAACAAAGTCATATGCAGTTACGTAAACCACAAAACGCTTTGAGACTATGAACTATTGTATTGAAGGTGGGAGTAGGGAAGGTTGGGGTAAAACGGACACTTTTGCCTTTTTTTTAATGTTAATGAGGGGTTGAAATGTTGATAAAATTTAATAATTTTTTTTTTTTCAATACAAAGAACAATTTCTTCCTTTTGTGACGAGCCTAAACTGAGCTCAATTGATAAATTTGTTTCTGAGTTATGAATAATTTTAAAGAAGTCTAAAGTGTCCATTTTACCCCACCGTCCCCTACACAGCTCTAATCAACGCAATGCGTTGAATTTCATTTTTTCAAAAATCCCTTTCTCGAAAAAATGTTTGGAAACTAAGGTTGATATGGCGCCTCAGAAATACTCTTGTCTATTCTATAAACTCCGAAGAGGATTTCACCCGGCAAAAATTGTCCGAACTGTTTGGATATCCTTAACTCATAGCCCCATTCAGTGACAAGTGTCTTCTCCCCCGTCGCAAAGTCAACTGTTTCTTTTCCAAGTTGAATATCGATCCGGCAACTTAAAAATTCGTATGCAGGGGAAAAAATGACAATTTTCCCTCTGTGATGATGAATAAATGAGACTCCTGCGCGACTCTTCCCCCATTTTTTCCCAGAGATGTCGTTGAGAATTCATTTGAAGGGGGAATCCCTGAATTGCTGAAAATCTACAAGAGTACACACAGGCGACAGGCATTGTTATTCTCGTATACCACCACCTGCGGTTCAATGCTCCCGATACAGTGGATATGCAGATACTACCAGTCAGTTTTATTCTTCTCCAATACATTGGCTTCTGGCGATCGGAAAATTTCTCTTCGGGCTGGAAATACATGGCCTACAGCATATATTCAACCCTGCTCGTCATCATAATCTATAGCAGTATCATATCAGAGTTGATAGGCATTGCGACCTCGAATGACAATATCAAAGAAATCGTCAACAACATGATGATTTTACTCTCGATGATTGGCGCGTGTGCGAAGGCGACGACTGTTCTCCTGCAACGCGAGGGAATCTCCAATCTCATTACGATCCTTCGGGCTCATCCGTGCATGGCCAAAGAGCCGGAGGAGGTGGCGATACAAGATATCTACGACAAAATGATTAGATAAGTACACGGAAATTAATTAAATTGTGAGACACCTGAGTTCACAGGCATTTCATCTGTAATTCACACGAGCGGAGCGGTTCGATCGAAACAAGTTGGGAAATTGCTTTCATCATAACATAGCTGATATGTCTTTGCTAATAAATTAGCAATTTGGTTTCGAATGGAATTTCTATGACGATGTATTTACCGTATTAATGTTATATTTTCTAAAAAGTGATCACCCAAAAACCGAATCATCGGATCCGGACACACAGACATTTTCTAAAAACATCATTTTTTCACGTTTCATACCATTCTACACTGAGAAAAAAAAATATTTTTGTCAAATATCCATGTACTTGAGAGAAGTATTTATTTTTTCAATACCGTATTTCTCCATTCGAGTCATTCTCAGGCAATCCTCATTAGGTTTCAATCATGTCAATTATATTGCTCTGGTGTAATGTTAACTAAAGGGAAGAGGGAGGGGAACAAAATGTAAAAACCCGAGAGGGTATACATGGAAAATAAACTACTATATTGCTCTAGAATATGATCATGTTAGTTATGACCTTGAGTGAACTTCTTCAATAATTATCAACATTAAAAAATCGATCGAAATTCTTCCCTGTAGAAAATGAGAAATTTTGGAAATATGAATAATCATTAGAAGAATCCATCCAAGGTCATGTGCAACATAGTCATACTCTAGAGCAACATGACTGTTGTAATTGAAACTTAGTCAGGCTCGCCTGGGAATGACTCGATTGGAGAAATACGATTTTGAAAAAATAAATACTTCTCTCAAGTAAATGAATATTTGGCAAAAATATATTTTTTTCTCAGTGCACATCATTTCCAGGCAAAATTGGAGAATGTAGAAATCCGACGAATACAATGCTTCCATTCGGAAGCAAAAAGAACCCGTTCGGAATCAAATTGCCAATTTATTAGCAACAATAACTATACTCATTTATAAAAATGCAATTATCCACTTGTTTCAATACGAAGACTTTTCACGTCTCACTTGTCTACTTTTGCGATGAAAATATCACTGTCGTTCTTGATTCCATACATCAACCGCTTCAGCATACGTGACACTGTCTGGAGTAACATCCTTCCTGGTGACAACTGCCGCTTTGTGGACGGGAGCTCCGCATCGCATTCTACCGTACAAATCTTGGTATCCCTACAACACATCAACTCTCGCGGGATTTTGGACTGCAAATGTGCATCAAATTATCTCACATAATTATGGCGCTTGTATCAATGCAGCCTGTGACACTCTGATATATGGATTGATAACGCAGATCTGTGCACAATTTGCCATTCTGCAGCATCGCTTCCACCGTCTGCCCAAGTCACTCACAAGAATTGGAAGAAATACCGAACAGTGGGAGAAGAATGAAATCAGGAATTGTGTGAGGCATCATCTTCAAATATTGCAGTTGAGTTGGTGTGATAAAATTAGTGAATTCTAATATTCAATAATTACACGTACGAAAAAATTCGATAGGAAATTCGAGCGCTTTCGCTGAGGAATTCTTCTGAATTTATATTGAAAATCTATTAAAAAATTCATTGTTTTTTGTTGATTTTTCCATGTAACTCATTCCGTTGAGATTATGTATGTACGAATTTTCAAAAAAGAATTTTCTATTTTTTTTCACGTGTCTGTACGTATGGGGGTATCGACAAAGGTTTTCTCCAATTGTTCGCTGATGAATCGATGAAATTAAATCATTTCGTATTCTCAAATCCGTGGCGAAGTGGTAAACTAGGATAAGTGCATTTTTTTTTGAAAATTTTTCTATTGCTTGAATCAAAAGTTCTCTCGAACGTTCTGAAATTTTTTAATTCTCCTGAAAAATTTCCATTTTTGCACTTATCCTAGTTTACCACTTCGCTACAAAAATGTAGGTATTGTTGAGCCCGACCCACCGACATTAATTAAAAGTCAATTCAGTAGCGAAGTGATAAAACGGTACAAGTCAATTTTGACTATTGACCAGTTTTCAATGAATATCTCGGAATCTAAGGAAGATACCAAAATTTTTGTTATAACCTTTTGTGTACAGCCGATTGAGAGCTACAACAAATGTAATTACGAACATTTCGCTATCTCCCTTAGATTCGGAAATATTCCTCAAAATCTCAACTGGAAGATAAGTCGACTTAAACTGTTTTACCACTTCGCTATTGAATCCATTCCATAATTTTTAAATTTTTGAATTTTTCCAAAAATCGGTTGCCCAATGATAACTAAAAAAATTTTCGACTGAGTTCGAAGATGAAGGCGATGGTAATAATTGTTGTTTCGATTTATATAACATTCAGCTAAGTTGAAAATCTGACACAATTGTCTAAAAATAAATCTCATTCAATTTAATGACATAAAATAAACAATGAATAATTATAGAATAAAATGATGTGCAATGACACAATATCTCAATATCAATATTAACAATATTAATATTATATGAATAAAACGACAGGATACCATTGCATAATGTTCAATAGAATTCTACTAGACTTTCAATAGAAATTGAATAAAATATTTTCAAGCAACTGTAGGTGTTTCAATTAAATTCTTTCATACGCGTAATCATGAAGAAATTCAATGCTAGCATCGAATGAAAACGCGCGATCCTTTGTAATCATAATTCATTAGAAAATGTTTGAATTCACTAACTGAATCACAACAGAATCATCGGGACATTGCAGAGCCCAGATCATACAGACCCATAGAAATAGTTTTTCTGAATGAACTGATCTTCATTTGAATTGAATGAATATCTCCATTCACATTGAATGAATCGTTTTTTCTTCGTCTTAACAAATGTTTTCTTGATCCAAATAAAAAGTTTTATTTCATTCAAATGCTTAATTTTTCTGATTGCGAGTAAATCCGATGATTTTTGCCTTGAAAATTAATTATAATGAAGTAGTCATTGAATTAATAACAAATGGAACATCACTCAAAGTAAATGATTCACGATAACAATAATTTGTTTTTCAGTTATGCGCATGGATGTAATCGAATATTTGACACCCTGATATGTCTACAATTTTGTATAAGTTCGACAGTACTATGTGTCAGTGTCTTTCGACTAGCCCAGATTAATCTATCAAGTCCTGATTTTCTCCTCATAGTCATGTACTTGATGTGCATGCTGTTGCAAATATTCATTCTCTGTATTTCTGGGAGTCACGTTATGTTCGAGGTAAAGTTTTAAACGAATATGAGTACTATTATTTTTGATTTATTACTTCCGAATGGACGCTTTGTATTCGTCAAATCCGAAATTTTCGATTTTTTGTGCCTAGATAGCTAATTTTGGCCTCAGATGGTTGAACATGCTATTTTCAGATTATGCCCGGATGTGTGTATGCATTTGCGTGTGTGTAACCGATTGTTTCTCGACGATAACTGAAAAAACAATTATTTAAATGAATCCAATTGCGATTTAAAATATTCTTTCCAATGCCAGCTTGACCGAATTCGATTATAAAATTTATTGTATCATCTTTTGTTGAAAAAATTTCTTTTGAAATCAATATTCAGGGAAAGATGAAAAATTTTAACGTTGGGCCAATGTTGGTTACCAGCGCCGGCCCAATGTTGGCTACCAACGTCGGCCCAATGTTGGGACAATGTTGGCAGACAGCATGGATGGAGTTGGCTACCAACGTTGGGCCAATGTTGGGACAATGCTGGCAGACAGCATTGAAGAAATGTTGGCTACCAACGTTGGGCCAATGTTGGGACAATGCTGGCAGACAGCATTGAAGAAATGTTGGCTACCAACGTTGGGCCAATGTTGGGACAATGCTGGCAGACAGCATTGAGGAAATGTTGGCTACCAACGTTGGGCCAATGTTGGGACAATGTCGGCAGACAGCACTGATGCAATATTGGTCACCAACGTTGGGCCAATGTCGGTTACCAACATCGGCGCAATGTTGGCTACCAACGTCGGGGCAATGTTGGCAGACAGTATGGAGGGAATGTTGGCTACCAACGTTGGGCCAATGTTGGGACAATGCTGGCAGACAGCATTGAGGAAATGTTGGCTACCAACGTTGGGCCAATGTTGGAACAATGTCGGCAGGCAGCACTGATGCAATATTGGTTAGCAACGTTGGGCCAATGTCGGGCTAATGTTGGCTGCCAACGTTGGCGTAATATTGAATTGAATTTAAAATATCTCATCACAGAAATACCATTTGAAAGAAATCTAATTTATTAGCAAAAATATATCGACTATATTGTGACGAAAGCAATTTCCGACTTGTTTATCTTTACCTCTTACTATGAAAATTTATCTCCGTACATATTGAATTCTATTATTGACGTCGGCTGTTGAATTCCACGTATGAAAAAATTTAATAGAAAAATCTAGCGCTTAAGGAATTCCCTCAGAATCCTGTAAGAATTCTATTGAATGATTCTATTTGTTTTTTGGGCCAACTCTATTTTAAAGGCGAAGGGGCCCTGGGGCTCGTGTGCGAGCCGAGCAGGGGGCAAATCCCCCTACTAAACAATTTTTTTATTAAAAAAAAAAGACTGAATCAAATTAATTTAATAATTCAGGTATATTTTTTTAGAGTCATAACATGGTGCATGGAATCTATGCCATGGATTGGACCCCACTGAATTTAAACACGAAGAGGAGTTTGCTATTTATTATTGGTAATTGTCTGAGACCTGTTAAATTTACATGCGGCACTGTTATCCCTCTGTCTCTTGATTCTTTCAATCAGGTGAGTATTTTATTACATGTCTTCCATGAGAACTGAACTCACTGAGTGTTTTTTTTTTCAATTTTAATGCAGTTGATTAAGCTTTCGTACTCGGCCTTCAATGTTCTACAACAATCGTCGGGGTGAATCACCGGTGCTCAGGGGAAAGAGAGGGAATGAGAAAATGCATATATGAAAATATTGAATACAATATCTAGGGCGTTCGTTCCAAAATTGTATTGAGAGCCTACTTCATTTATTCTATCACGTGTATATCCTCCCGGGTCTTTACATTTTGTCCGATGTCCCGTATTAAAATTATGAATGATGAAAAATACTTGATATTTTACCACAACGATCGACCAAATCATTGAACAGGCAAATTTCCCTACACTATTGTAAGAAAAACAAGTTCTCAAAACAAGTCTTGCTTGGCTCATTAAAAACCCTAGTTGAAAATTACCAAACACGTGGATAATTGCATTTTTTATAAATGAGTGTGGTTATTATTGGTAATAAATTAGCAATTAGCTTCCGAATGGATTCTCTTTTTTTATTCTCATTTCATCATTCTCTTCTTTTATTTTTGAAATTTGAGATGTCTGGACGAATTAAGCAATTGAAGAAAAATTACTTGTCTCAAGAAAATATGTTTCAGATATTGGAATTTTTTTTTCTCAGTGTAGGGTAAACTGTCCAGTAGATGGACGCCTAAGAAAACCGCCCAGTAGATGAACGTTTGTTTTTCAGCAATTGAAAAAAAAATTGATCGAAAAAAAATCGTCACTCGGGGGTTAAGAATCACAGCTGTTGGTGCAAAATTCAAAGCAACAATTCACATTTCAGTATTTTTTGCGTAATTTCCTATCCGAAAGTAGCTCGTCCATTTATTGGGTAGCTTACCCTATTTCTCTCCGTCCGTCGTCTCCCCCATCGCAGAGTCAACTGCCCCTTTACGGAGTCGACTATCGATCTGACAACTCAAAAATTCCTAACGGGAGAACAGTTTTACAATTTTCCCCCTTTTCCGCGACGCGAAACGTTTAGCGACATTCGTTGATGAATAAAAGAGTCCTCCGCGCGACTCTCCCCCATTTTTTCCCAGAAATGTCATTGTGGATTCTCTCAAAGGGGATTTTTCCCTGTATTGGAAAAATTTCCCAAGAATAGGTGGTGCATCATTGCCATTTTTCTTCTCGTACACAACCAGTCCAAGTTCAATGCTCCCGAGATTGTCGATATGCACATGCTACCGGTCAGTTTTACTATTCTTCAGTACATCGGCTTCTGGCGACCGGTGAAGCTCTCTTCGGAGTGGAAATGCATGGCCTACGGCATTTATTCGACTTTGGTAGTCTTCACAGTCTACAGTAGCATCGTATCGGAGCTGATATACATGGCGACCTCGAATGACAGTGCCAAAGATACCATAAACAACTTGGTGATTCTTCTTTCGATGATCGGGGCGAGCGCTAAGCTCACGACTGTTCTCCTGCAACGCGAGAAAATTTCTAATCTCATCGCGATCCTTCGGACTCATCCGTGCGAGGCTGAAGAGCACGAGGAGGCGGCGATCCAAAATATCTACGACCAAACGATTCAATAAGTATTCTCGCTGTTTTTGTTTTCAATCCAGTAGCGAAGTGGTAAACCGGTATAAGTCGATTTTCACTATTGGCCAGTTTTCAATGAATATCTCGGAATCTAAGGGAAATAGCGAAATTTTTGTAATTTCCTTTTTTGTAGCTCTCAATTTGCTCTACAAAAAAGGTTATGACGAATATTTTGCTATTTCCCTTAGATTTTGGGATATTCAGTGAAAACTGGACAGTAGTCAAAATCGACTTATACCGGTTTACCACTTCACTACTGAATTTTAATGCTCGGTTATGCGCAAACTTGACCACTGCGCATGGAGCGACGCGCAGATTGTGATTTTTTCCAGTACTCGTACTAGAATTTTTATGGAAAATTTCTCTCCGTGTACAGTGCAAAATTTGTGGACTTTTAATTAAGGTTTTTGATAGTTTCAAACGCTGAATTCTCATATTAAACTGTGGTTATTCGATTCGTGGTACTTTCACGCGTAATTTGAGACCAATTTGTACTCAAAACTCCACTCATGTCAATAATTATCAACAATTTTGTTGACGCCGAGCGGAGCCGGTAATACCGCTCATAGGATCGGCCACGTACCCTGATAGAACGGATTAGTTATTGTTAACGAATGAATTTTGGTTGGAGTTTAGGGTCTATTCGGTCCCACGAAATGTTCATTCGTTAATAGTTAACGAATCTCGTTTGGAATAAATGAATCATTCTATCAGTGCTATCGAGTACAAATTTATTAATTAAGATCAGTTTAAGCTCATCGCAAAGGGAAAGAATTGTTGTTTGTATTGAAAAAAAATATATAAAATGAAAAAAAATATATTTCATCAACATTTCAACCCGTCATTAACATTAAAAAAAAAACTCAGTGTCCGTTTTACCCCAGCCTCCCCTATAATAAATTTCCACTTTTCATCATCTTATTTTTGCAATGAAAATTCGATTACTGTTCTTGATTCTATAAATCAACCGCTTCAGCATACGTTATCCTCTCTGGAGTGACAACAGCCATGGTGACGGGTGCGAGTTTGTGTACGGAAGCACCGAGTGGAATTCTACCGTACAAAGCCTGGTATCCCTACAACACATCGACTCCTCTCGGATTCTGGAGTGCATATCTGCATCAAATTATCGCGCACGCTTATGGGGCTTTTACCAATGCAGCCTGCGACACTCTGATATACGGAATGATAATGCAGATCTGCGCACAATTCGCCATTCTCCAGCATCGCTTCCACCTCCTGCCAAAGTCACTTGCAGCTATTGGGAAAAATATTGAACAATGGGAGAGGAAGGAATTGGGAAATTGTGTGAGGCATCATCTTCGAATATTGCAGTTGAGTCTTCGGGGCGAAAGGGTTTACACGAATTGAATGAAAAAAAAAGGTTTTTTTACATTAAGGCCCGGGTGTACTATCTTTCGAATGTTATCTGGATTTTTTTTATCTTTCGTAATCCAAAATTGTCGATTGAGGGGTACATCATGTAGAAATTACCAAAAATTATGATTGAATGATATAAAAAATAGAAAACATTCTGAACTTTTTAAAAGAGCGGTTTTAATTGAGATTCAGAATGAGTTGAAGAAAGTGGAAATTACAAATATCTGATTCGCTGTGGCAAATTATCTATTAGCTGTCATTTTCCATGGTGGATAACAAAACACTAACTCCTCATGGGAAGTGACAGCTAGGTATCTCAATTTTCAAAACAGTGGTATGTAGTCATCTGCCATTTTTATGTGATAAAAGTGTGATTAAAAAATTCTCCAAAATATTACAACTTTTTTCAAAGAGCCTTTTCCGTAATAAATGTCTCTGTGCAGTGTGGGAAAAGATTTACGAAATCAGTCTTCCCCCTGCATGATATTGGCTGACAGGCCGCCATTTGTCACCGTAAATCAGATACATTTTTCAATTTCTTGTTATTCAACTTATTCTGAATATAAATTAAAAATGCTCGTTGAAAAAATTCAGAATTTTTTCTACTTTTTTTTTATTATTCATTCATAATTTTTCAAAACTTCTGCATGACGCAGGACATTGACAATTTCAGATGACGAAAGATGAAGAAAAACATCGAGATAAAGGGTCACGAGGGGTCACAAGGCTCACGAGAAAATTTCAGACGAGGAAATTCTATAGAAAATATCTCAATAGAATAAGTTGTGTAGAAAAATTGAATTCTATTGACTTTTTCTACTGATTATTTTCTATTGAGCATTTCAATCGGCCAAAAACTAATAGAACAGTTCAATAGAAATTTAATAGAATTTTCTAACGAATTCGATAGGCTTTTCTATTAAATTTTTTCGTCCGTGACAAAATATATTTCGTTTTCGTGACAAAATATGTTCTTAGTTTTGCAGACGAATGTAATCGAGTCTTTGACTCCCTGATTTGTCTACAATTTCTGATAAGTTCAACAGTACTTTGTGTCAGTGTCTATCGACTAGCCCAGATCGAGCTATCCAGCCCTGATTTTCCCATCATAGTCATGTACTTGATGTGCATGCTGTCGCAAATATTCATCCTCTGTTTTTCTGGGAGTCACCTGATATTCGAAGTAAAGTTATCAGCAAAAGGTGAGTTGTGAATGAGATCGAATTATTAATTCAGACATGTTTTCTTCAGAGTCATAACATGGTGCACGGAATATATGACATGGATTGGACTCCACTGACTCTAAATACGAAGAAGAGTCTGATTTTTATCATTGGTAAATGTCTGAGACCTGTTAACTTCACGTGCTGCACTATTCTTCCTCTATCTATTCATTCATTTAATCAGGTGAGTTTTTCATGAGTTGTTTTCACGGACGAAAAAATTTAATAGGAAAAGCTATCGAATTTGTTAGAAAATTCTATTGAATTTCTATCGAACTGTTCTATTAGTTTTTGGCCGATTCTATTGAAATGTTCAATAGAAAATATTCAGTAGAAAAAGTCAATAGAATTCAATTTTTCTATACAACTTATTCTATTGAGATATTTTCTATAGAATTTAAATTTTCTAAGTTTGTTCCTTCGATTGTCTTGATGAGAAGAAAAGAAAAATAGAATGAAAAACTTCGAAAATTTGAGTCGAGCAAATTTTATAGAAAATATATGAAAAGAATAAGTTACATTGAAAAATCGGATACCGTTGACTTTTTCTATTGAATGTTTTCTATTGAACATGTCAATAGAATCAGCCAAAAACTAATGGAAAGTTTAATAGAAATTCAATAGAATTTTCTAACGAATTCGATAGGTTTTTCTATTAAATTTTTTCGTGCGTGTTGCGGGAAGAATAAATTGACTGACTGTTTTTTTTTATGCAGTTGATTAAACTTTCGTACTCGACCTTCAATGTTCTACAACAATCGTCAGGAGTGAGCCATTGACACACAGGAAATAATTTAATGGACACACCTAGCGAATTCGCTAGACAATTCTATTAAACTTTCTATTAATTTTTGGCCGATTTTATTGAAATGTTCAATAGAAAATATTCTGTAGAAAAAGTCAATACAATTTGGTTTTTCTACACAACTTTTTCTATTGAGATATTTTCTATAGAATTTGCTCGGCTCAAATTTCCTAAATTTTTTTCATTCTTTTCTCTTCTTTTTTCATCAAGAAAATCAAACAATTTTCGTACATGTGGTTGTGATCGCTATTCAGAGTAAGCAATCTGTCATTGTTTATTTGTGATAAATATTTGTGAAACTATATAAAAAGGAAGACAAAATGTTCAATGGGTTCGCTGCAGCGAAGTAGTGAAACGGTTCACGTCAATTTTGACTATTGGCTAGTTTTCAATAAATATCTCGGAACCTAAGGGAGATAGCAAAATTTTTGTTATAACCTTTTTTGCAGAGCCGATTGAGAGCTACAATAAATGTAATTACGAAAATTTCGCTATCTTCCCTAAATTCGGAAATATTCCTCAAAAACTCAACTGGGAGATGAGTCGACTTGAACCGTTTTACCACTTCACTACTGATACATAAATAAATTTATGATGTATACAACATTCCTGGCCAAAAAATATATGCGGTATGATTGCGGTATATGTCACATATATGTCTACATTTTTTTCCATGCGGCATTAATTTCCACCCAAAAGGTGAATAAATGAAAAAAATTATTTAGCCGCGAAAAAAACAGAATCAACAAAAAAAAATCTAAAAAATGCGCGAAACATTCCCCTCCGCTCGCCACAATCGAAATAAAAAAATCCATGAAGGGTGAAAGCATGTGGAGATCGGGGCTTACATGTCGGGTCAATTACCGAACACTTTTGTCAAAGCCCATTTCAACAGAATATGTGGGAGAATCTCGCTGCCCATATATGCAGGCGTAAGATCATGAGAACCGATGTATTTCTATATTAGAATGACCGCCCGCAGTCGTTCAACACCAGACGCAGTAACGCGTAGCGAAGATGCACCGTATGCGGGATAAACTATTCCTCATCCAATTTTAGCTCGAAAAATATTTCCTATCGAAAAACATCGTGAGAAATTGGATTGTCCGTGTGATGGGCCGATGGTGGTTGCGGGCTAATCGTACGGGTGTTCTCACGGAGGCATATAATACAGTGTGACTCATGCCCTCACCGAAATAACTTCGGGGTAAGGGGAAGACTCTCGTCATTTTTAACAACAATTTTTCGTAATTTTTTTCCACTTGAATGACAACTACATGCTTCGCCCACAAAATGACGATAATTGACGGTAAAAAATTCATAGAAAATATTCGTCATTTCGAAATGAATGAAAATGAATGAAAATTCATTGAAAATGAATTTAATTATTATGACTTGATAAATTTAATTTTACTGTATTAATAATAATCATTGTAATTTAACGGAATTTATTGCAAGAAAAATATAAAATATGCCCGAGGACCTTCAGCCACTGTATTAATATTTAGCTGTATTTTTGTTACGATTTTATTATAATTTAATTTGATTTTTAACAAAGCGGGAAATCATTTCGATTCTGACTATTGGTCAGTTTTTAATGAATATCTCGGAATCTAAGGGAGATACCCAAATTTTTGTCATAACCTTTTTTGTGGAGAAGATTGAGCGCTACAAAAAAGGTTATAATGAAAATTTCGCTATCTCCTTTAGATTCGGAGATATTTAAGAAAAATATCTCCGAAAATTAAAAAAAAAAACATTTCTGCTGACATTTCACGAAATTTTGCAGTTGAAATTCTACTGTTTGTATTCTATTGTTTTTCTCGCAATTCGATGAGAAAACCGATGAAAAAATTCGAAGTTTTAGGCCAATTCTCAAAGAATCGAGAATATATTTTAAATTTTTTTTGACGCTCATTTTTCAAATGTTTCTATTCAACCGTTTAATTTCATTGCTAATCGATAATTCGGTGATAATACGGTCATACATATTTATACGTATTAGGAGTAATAATATTAAACGCCATGTTTGAAACACTTTGAAAATTTCAATTTGAGGCTTTAAAAAATCTGAATTTGAGATGAAAAATCTCAAAATAAATGTTTTTTTATCGTAAAGTGTACAGGGGCTGACACAAATTTCCAGACAAAACTGAGTTATTATTCATTTTTAATCTCTTCAAAGTGTAATTTGAATTCTGCCGATTTTCTCCGATTTTTCAATAATTATCTCATGCAATTTAATCGAAAAACCGCTTTCCCCAATATCTCAAAACACCGGGGCAAAACGGGTGGTTATATTTAATTCATAATCAAAGTTTCCACTGGAATAAAAATGTTTGACCGTCAAAAACAGATGAATACTTTGAAGAATATCATTTTGAAATGGAAGACGATTTTTCAGCGATTGAAAAAATATCTGCAGCGAATATTCCATAAAAAATCGAGTGAATAAAACAGGTACACGTTGAACTTTCATCTGCGGACGTTAGCGACGCATCCCACAGTCCTCCCGTCGTCGTCTACCAATTACCCCCAATTGAGCCAATTTATACCAATTGATCTTAACTCGCTGAATTAACCGGCAAGCTCGGAAGTCTCCACCGTAAACTGCGTGGACGATAAAAAAACAGCCATTCCATTTTTCCCCCATTGTCACCCGTAGCACGCAGCGATGACAACGGATGTGCCATGAACATTGAACCCCGCGTGAGATCCCAAGACGAAGAAGAAATTCCCCGCCGGCGTCCCCGCGCCCCATCACCTCGAGCGAAAAAGAACCCTCAATTTTCCTCCCCCATCTTTATTTGCAACAAAGCAGGCGCTGAAATTTGAAAAAAAAATCATTTCATCCCGTTCGAATAGAGCGATAATGTTATTTACTCAGTCGTGATCTCCCCTCACTCGGGAATCGCGAGACCGGCGGGCTATCACTGAAAAGAGGGGCTGAGAAGGAGGAGTCAGGTACGCCGCCCCTCACCAGTTGCGCGTGTTCTGGCGAAGTGGGAGAGCGACGCGCACGCACATTATTTCAACTTGCACGTTGCCGCCAACATTTTACCGCCAACATTTTACCGCCAACAATGCAACACCCACAGGTCCCCGTCCATAAAAATCGAAACGATGGGAGAAAACACTTAAATCCAAAATCACAAGATGCACTTTATCCTTGCGAAGTCCTGACCGCGTAAATCCATTTGTATCCCCGAGGAGAATCAGTAAATAACCAAAAATCCTGATGTTTGTACGCGAGGTTTTCGACGCACTGATGCTGCGGAGGAGCCTCGGGCGGAGAGTTGCGGCGGGCCCTCGTCAAATATTTCGGCATGCGACGGCTTATGCTCGGTAAAATGTGCGTGAATGTGCCGGTAAATCCAGAAGTGCGAGAAATTAATCCAAAAGTGAAGGGAGACGGGTCAGTGCAGGAGGCGACCCACCCGGTACTGCAGCTCTGGCATCACCGAACCTTCACTTATATCGTGCCTCGGCTAATAACGCCCAGTAATGTGATATGATTAGCTTAGTTGAGTTCAGTTTAGTTCGTATTCGTTCAATTTAGTGATTCGCCGGCAAAATCACATCGAGTTAAAGTCATTTAGCCCAGTTAACAGTTGTCCTGTCCAATGTTGATGGTCTGTTGACCATGTAAACATCATCAAGCCCCCGCGGAATGCCCCCCAATAGACAAACCCCCTGACGCTCTTCGCCTGACGATTCAGTCTGACAATTCAGTGTCTCATCACACGTTGACTAATTAACGCTTGTCGAATTACCACTTAATAACGCGGGTTCATAGGCGAATGCAGAATGGGAATGGGGGTAGTTTGATTGGACCAATTCGAGGCAATTCCTGGCGATTGTTGGCATTCATTGAGGCTTCGGTCGAGTTTAAGAGCGACGAGCCATCAGTGACATGCTGTCCGTCGAGGAATTGAGATGGATCCTGGATGGTCCATCTGAAATTCACCATCAACCCCTCGACCCTCCCTGAATCCTCACCCCAATCCTTCCGCGCGGTCCCGCGGGAAGAAGCACAAATGCAAGAACAAGGTGAGTCATCTCCGTCGACAGCGAAGGGGCGACAAAAGAGATGAACCAAAAAATTGGAATACCCGATGTTTAGATGGGTAGTGGCCTGAAACCCGCATACATCACCCGCCTCCCGCTGGATCCATTGTATTCCTCTCATTCCGAGCCACAGCGATTGGCTCGAGTGCGAGAGTGGACCGTGGGCGGTGCTACCAACTCATCCCTTTAAATATAAACGTGTGTGAGATTACCAGTCGTTCACCAAGGTCCGTCACAACTAGTTCACTTTGTTAACGCGGCTTTGGAACAAGTCGAAATTAATCATAACCGGCCCAACAATTTATAGTAATTGGTTGAGATTCCATTAACACTTATTCGTGAATTGCAACAAACAAGAGACACCGCGGTGGATTACATTTATCAATTTGTGATTTGATCCATTGAGGGGGGTTTTTTTTCTCTTTTCATTCGAGTTTATGGAGTTGATTGGTTGAGGAGTGAGTGATTGGAACGAGTCTTCATGAACCTTGTCGATTATTCGTGGCAATCGGTTCTCGCGGATTATCCCAGGGATTTCACTGAGGAATTTGCACTTGATTATTGCCAGAGTGATTGCGCTATTATGGATGGAACGCCCTTTGATGATCCCATTTTCTCGGACTTTGGGGGACGTTCGGGCACTGGGGTGCACAGCATTCAGGTGATGCTGGGGCTGCACGGGGCGCATCATGCGAATGATCTTATTCCGCCGGGGGGCCATCTGCATAAGTTGGACTCAGCGGAGGAGTCGCCGCCCCATCATCAGGGGGGACATCATCTCCAGGCGCAGGGGCATCAGGCGAAGGAGCTCAAGGAGCTGGAGCTCGCGGGAATGTATGCGCCTCTTGCCCAGGGGGACGTTAGCACCTCGAGCTCCAGCTCCATCACTACCACCAGCACTGGACTCCAGCAGAGCATGCAGATCGGGGGGAGCATCAAGAGGAAGGGGGAGGATAATATCAATTCTATTGCACAAGGTAATTTTTTCAGGCGGGCCGCGGGGGAAAAAATTCAATTGAAGAGGCGGAATTCGTGCGAAATTGTATTGGGAGTCTAGTGGAAATTCTATTTTTTTGCCCTCGTTCACGGAGAAAAATTTTCTAGAAAAATTCTAGTACGAGTACTGGAAAAAATCACAATCCACCGTCTGTGAAAAATTCTAGTGCTTTAAGGAAAAATTTCTTGATATTTCTGGTAAAATTTCTGGGGACTTCTGTGAAATTTTCACAGAAATACTGGGAAAAATTCACGTTTTCCCCAATAAAATTTCTAGTGCCGGCACTGGAATTTTTTCCTGGCCGTCACTTTGCGCCTCTTCTCCCGTGCAAGCACTAGAATTTTTCTAAAAAATTTCTCTCCGTGTTCTAGTGGATTTATGATGGCATTCATTTTCATGAACGATAATAATTGGAAAAAATCATGGGGTATTGGAAAAGTTTGGCAATACTATTTTATCGTATTGTTAAGGAACAAACCTCATAATTATTTGTAAAAAACTCGAAAATTAAATTAAAATTGTACTAAATTTTTCAAGGTAATATTTGTTTTTATTGTGATAATAATATTTAATGACGATTTGGGTTCTGGCAAGGGTCTAACAAGGGCAGACAATTTTAATTTAATTTTCGAGTTTTTTATAAATAATTATGAGGTTTGTACCTTATTTTGTATATGGATGGTTTTCGGAGCCTGCAGAAGCTGCAATTTAGCAGTGAAACGTCGCGATTTGAAATGGTATTGCTAAACTCTTCCAATATCCCATGATTTTTTTCCAATTATTCTAGTGGATGTTTGATGAGAAAAAGTGGGATTTCAAATTTCTGTTTGATTTTTTCGCGAGATTTTTTTCTGTGAGAATGCAAAACAGAATAAAATTCGGCGGAAAAAACTTGGAAAATTTGTGCCCAATAATTATAATTTAAAAAATCTGAAGAGGACAATTCGAACAGAAATTTGAAATCTATTGACTTTTTTCAATCAAATGATAGAATCAGCGCAAAAAATAAGTAGAATTTTTCAATAGAATTCGAATAGAATTTTCTAGCGAATTCGCTAGGTTTATTTCAATTGAATTTTTTCATGCGTGGGATCAGGGAGTTTTTAGGGATTTATGGGAGGATAATTTTATCAAGAGGATTCCATTTAAACCGTCTATCATTTGGTTGTTAATTTTCAAATAAACATGATTTCATAGTGAATACCAGTTATCTCTTCTTGAGATACATTTGATCGGGAGAAATCGAACTTCTCTAGCATTGAAGTTCCTTTTATGTGTCGCAATAATGAGAGTATTAGATTTCTCTCCAGCCAAAAGTTTGCTATCTCCAGAAATTCGTTGGTTTACTCAAAAATCAAAATTATTCTCATGACTAAATACGTTGTTATCTCAGTCAGCACGATCATACGTTGTTCCAAGTAAATTATAATTGAAGTGAGCATTTCGTATGTCGAATCAGGATGAATATTGTTACGCGGAAAAAGCTTTGAGATTGTAGTAAGATGTCGTTGAGTTGAAAGAAGTTTATATTTCTTGACTAAAAAAATCGCATTAGTTTACAATAGCAGAATCACAGATTACGGCAATTCAACACAAACTTGGATATCACAAATTTCGTTCAATGTGATGTACGGAAAGCTCAATTTAAACATCGGCTTCATTCGAGAAAACAACATTCAATTCATTTCTCAATGTAATCATCTCCTGGGTACGATTTTTTTATCAATTCAAGAAAGTAGAAAATTTCTCGACTGGAGATTATACTGGGTTTAAGGGTGCCAAGTGAATTTGAAAAAAGATTCAAAAAAAATTTTCTCTTTCCCTCCATCATTGGAGAAATATGTATTCATCCATCCGACGGAATTTCAAACCCGCAACCGGAACTAGACATCGAGAAAATAAATGCGGAAAATCCTCTGTTTCGCGTGACGAAACTCGAGAAGGCATGGGATCAAATGGGTACGGCGGGTTGAAATATCTCTCTTATTCACCCCGGTACCCCATTGTTTTTTGTCGCCATCACATTGAACACATCATTCCCCATATCTTCAAATTTTTTCAAATTTTTCTTGAGTTCCTAGGGGGTTGAAACGTTCAATTTAATCAAAACTCCATAAGAGGCCGTGTATAAGACTGGTTTTGTTTATTTAATTTCTCGATATCCATAAGTTCTAAAATTTTAAAATTGTCACCGATGTTCACCATCTGTCTAATACTATTAATTTAAAAAATTATAACTTTGTTGGTGAATGTCAATTTTCAAGGTCATCGCCAAATTCACTTGGCACCTTTAAAAAAATAGAACTTTTCCGTTTTTGTGGTGAATACATGTGACTCGACGCCAAGGACTGTGTTAAATGATTCAAGTAAATGTACCTCAAGGAATAATTGATATTCACCGTAAGATCTTATTTACTTGAAGCTGGTTCACGAATATAATACTTGTACCAAGAAGGAAACATCTCAATAAAATAATTTTTTCTATGAGTGTCGTGAATTCGTCGGGTCTATTAAATTTTTTCGTGCGTGAACCTTTGAATTTGCGCCACTGAATTCGAATTAATGGTCCTTGTTGCTCATCCACGGTATGAGATGGAATGACTCTGAAAGATATTGGATGATTTTCTTCCGGTGTTCGTGCCGGGCATCAGTATATGGTGACGTTACACTGCCCCCCATTACGCTCTTCTACGCACCAAATACAATTACCCATGCATATGTACCTCCAACGGCGGACACTTTCTGCTTCAGATACTAGACGATTGATAAAATCGAAAAAACCACAAATCAGTATTGACATATACATATATTAAAATACTCAAATAACTAATACAAAATGTGCTTTTTTTTTATACAATAAGTTATGTTTCATTTTTATTTTTATTTCTTCTTCTCCCTTGAGTTTTGTGAGCGCACCTACCATACAAATAACAATATGCACTAATCCAGCGGAACGGTTCAATTTACCACAAAAAACAATATTAAATTCTATACAATAAACCCATAAATTTATTAAACTCGAGTGTCACAAAGGGACCATTTGTTTAGATTACAACAGATACTTATCATTATTTTTTTTTATACCTGTTTTTTTTCCTAAGTGTAAATATTGTAAATAAATGTAAATACTCACTGTAAAAAATTAAATAAAACATGGTTAAACAAAAAAAAAAGCGGACACTTTCTGCAGAAGAATGAGCGAATGCTAGAGCGAATGCTCTTCGTCACTATGTATTCATAATTTTAATTCATCAACTGTTGCAGGAACGAATGAGACTCAGCCTGCGAAAAAGGACTCGAAGAAGAAGTCTAGTAACGATGGAATCAAGAAGAAAAAGACACGGTAAGAGATGAATTCACTCCCCTACAATTCGCAATTTTTTTTTTCATCGAATTTTCGCAATGTTTTTCCATTAAACCCTTCCGTGCGTGGCTGCATCCCACGCAGAACAATTCCCGTGACCAATAAACGATATTCACCACCGAAATATTATGAATCCAGAACAACCTTCACGGCGTACCAGCTGGAGGAGCTCGAGCGTGCGTTCGAGCGTGCGCCCTACCCGGACGTCTTCGCCCGGGAGGAGCTGGCGCTGAAGCTAGCGCTCTCCGAGTCGCGCGTCCAAGTCTGGTTCCAGAACCGGCGCGCGAAGTGGCGGAAGCGCGAGCCGCCCCGGAAGACCGCGGGATACATGACAACGGGCGCGGGAAGTGGCGGTCTCTCCGGCTCCTTCACGTCCCTCAACAACAGCCTGAATCCCTTCGCCTCGAGCACGAGCGTCGCCACCGCGACGCCCCCCGACGCCTGGGCCTACTCCCCCGCGTACGACCTCGCGCCCCACATGAACCTCCTGAGCCCCTCGAGCTCCCCCTACTCGGGATCCTTCGCTGGGCCCAGCAACAACGGCTCTGCCTACTCCTACGCGACGATGCTGCCCCAGCACGACGCCTCCCTCTTCACGACCCCGAGTGGAAACACCATGCGCGTCCACCAGGACTACATGACTGCGAGCAACAACAGCCCCCCACCGTCAACCCTGACCCGAGCGGACTACCAGAACATGGTCTCCGCGCACTCCCCGCAGCACTCCAATCATCTGAGCGCACCAGGTAGCAATTCTCTGTCGGAGGACGAGCACCAGAACAAGCAGATGGAGTACGTGGCTGGGCTGAGCCCAGCTGACAAGTACCACCACGACCAGTCTGACTACTCCTCCCATCAGCCAGAGACTTCCCACATCAAGCAGGAGTACAGCATGCACTCACCCCCGTCCAGTGCACGCAATATCAAGAACGAAGTGATGGTCAAGAGTGAGGGCTCTGGGCAGCAGAATTACGTGCAACTTCCACCTTTTTTGAATTAACGAGAACCCTCAGGAGGCGGGGGGGTTTCTATCGCGAGATGCAATAATGTGCCTTTGAGTTTTATTGTTGATGGGTGAGGAGAGATTAGGGAACACTTGACTGGATGATATGTAATGCATTCGGTGGAGATGCCTTTTTAGTAGAAAATTCTACTGCTGTTTTATTTGTTTTTTTGGATTTATTTGATGGGACAAAGGGAATAGAGTCTCAGTCAATAGAATTTTTGTTGAAAAAGTGGCCACCGAATAAGTGAAAAATCAAGTCAAATCGAATTCATAAAATTGGATTTCCTATTGAATTTTTTGATTCGTGAGAACTTTTACGCAGATGTTATGTGATATTTCGGGGTTTTGGGAATTGTTCGATAGAAGGAATTGAATGGATTTTAATTCAAAAGAATTTATATTAAAAATCGCAATAGAATAAGTGGTATCGAAAAATCAAGATCTATTTACTTTTTCCTATCCAATATTTACCAAAAATGTCGAAAATCTCAATAGAAATTTCGCTAAAAATGAATAAGATTATATTTTCTACGGGATTTTTGCAGTCCTGAGGGCTTTTGTTTAAGAATTTAATTGTCTTCGTCGATTTGCATGACAAATGGAAATATTGAATAGAAAGAATCTAGTGAAAATTTCCACAAAGTCAATAGATTTGTGATGTTCCTATACAATTGAGGATATCCAAGTATCTTTTACAGTTTGGTACAGACCAAACTATAGATTCAACAATATTCCATTATCCAATTTGTCGATTAAATTACGTGAGACAAATTTGAAAAAAAAATCATGAATATTCATTCAAATTACATTTTGCACAGAATTGACTTTAAACATTCGTTGTTTATAAATAAGTAATTGAAATTCTATAAACTTTTGAAAATTCTGAATATGAATAAATTTGTTACGATTCCGAACAAATGATTTTAATGGGGGAAAATTGATTGTAAATTATTTATAGAAAATGCTCGCAATTTTCAAAAATTGCAATTTTTTAAACATTTCATCAATATTCCTCCAACAATAAACTTTCTATTTTTTCAGATTTTTAAAATGTTTTTTAACGGTTCAATATCGAAATTCAAATTCTCATCTGCAAAGTTTAAATAATAAAAGAATTGTAAAATATCCGAAAAGTTGGGGTCAAATGGGGCTCAAATGAAAGCTCTGATGTTAGATTACAAAAGTAGAAAAGCATTTTACTGGTGAAAAAATAGTCAAAAAACTTGGATATCCTTAATTCCGTTAAGTTTTCCACCTAGAATTCCATTTGTCCATACCTCCTTTCTATTGACCATTTCCATCACAAACAAACTCTAAAGTAAAATCGACAACATCATAGATGTTGAGAAAAAAAACTCCAACAAAGCCCTAGAATTCTTCGTTAATTATTTTTTACGCGTGTTAGATTAAGACAATTTTCTTCTTTATCTCAAAATTTATAAAATTTATAAAATTTGGAAATAATCCTAGTTCTTCCAGACGCACCAAAGAAAAAAGTTCTCTTCTTCCAACTATCCAAAGTGAATTCCAGATGCTGCTGCTCTTATCGTCTCTACATTTAAGTGCTTACATTAAATATTTTGAATAAAACGTGTGGTTTAGAGATAGATCTATTTTACGGCAGTCTTTCTGTTTTATTTGTATTAATAAATAACAAAGTATTTACATCATTCAACGTATATTCCTTTTGATACTCTTTCCACTCTTCGGTTTCTCCATTCAACTCCTCAGGACTCTTTTTACTCAGCTTTTGATTGCTGTCCCACACACCGTCACCTGTGAAGTGGTATTCCCTCTCGATGTGGTATGCACACAGAGCGAGCAATTGACTCGGGGTGAAACGATACTTCTCGTCGATTTGTTTGTTCACTTCTATGAGCCTTGCCAGTGGATACTGGATTTTATCCCTGGAAATAGGGGGAAATTATATTAGTCATACGTCATGTGAATGGTCATGTGGAGCCATGCGGGCGCTATTTAATGTCAAATTATGGAGGACATCCCACATCCAGAGGAATGACGCATGAAAAAAATTGATAGAAAAACCTAGGGGTTTCTCTAAAAAATCTATTGAATTTTTATTAGAACTCTGTAGAAATTCTCTTGAAATTCTATTAGAATTCTATCGAAAAATTCTATTTTTTTGCGCCATTTCTATAGACGATTATGCAACTTTAACATGTCATTTTGTTAAGAGATATTTGACAGAAAAAAGTCAAAAGATTTTGATTTTTCTACAGAAATGCTTGGGCGTAAATTTATCAAGTTTTTTTTCCCCTGTATTTTTATGTTTTTCGTAACACGCACGAAAAAAATTAATAGAAAAACCTAGGGGTTTCTCTAAAAAATCTATTGAATTTTTATTAGAACTCTGTAGAAATTCTCTTGAAATTCTATTAGAATTCTATCGAAAAATTCTATTTTTTTGCGCCATTTCTATAGACGATTATGCAACTTTAACGTGTCATTTTGTTAAGAGATATTTGACAGAAAAAAGTCAAAAGATTTTGATTTTTCTACAGCAATGCTTGGGCGTAAATTTATCAAGTTTTTTTTTCCCTGTATTTTTATTTGTTTTTCATAACACGCACGAAAAAAATTAATAGAAAAACCTAGGGGTTTCTCTAAAAAATCTATTGAATTTTTATTAGAACTCTGTAGGAATTCTCTTGAAGTTCTATTAGAATTTTATTGAAAAATTCTATTTTTTTGGCGCCATTTCTATAAACGATTATGCAACTTTAACGTGTCATTTTGTTAAGAGATATTTGACAGAAAAAAGTCAAAAGATTTTGATTTTTCTACAGAAATGCTTGGGCGTAAATTTATCAAGTTTTTTTTCCCCTGTATTTTTATGTTTTTCATAACACGCACGAAAAAAATTAATAGAAAAACCTAGGGGTTTCTCTAAAAAATCTATTGAATTTTTATTAGAACTCTGTAGAAATTCTCTTGAAATTCTATTAGAATTCTATCGAAAAATTCTATTTTTTTGCGCCATTTCTATAGACGATTATGCAACTTTAACGTGTCATTTTGTTAAGAGATATTTGACAGAAAAAAGTCAAAAGATTTTGATTTTTCTACAGAAATGCTTGGGCGTAAATTTATCAAGTTTTTTTTCCCCTGTATTTTTATGTTTTTCATAACACGCACGAAAAAAATTAATAGAAAAACCTAGGGGTTTCTCTAAAAAATCTATTGAATTTTTATTAGAACTCTGTAGGAATTCTCTTGAAGTTCTATTAGAATTTTATTGAAAAATTCTATTTTTTTGGCGCCATTTCTATAAACGATTATGCAACTTTAACGTGTCATTTTGTTAAGAGATATTTGACAGAAAAAAGTCAAAAGATTTTGATTTTTCTACAGAAATGCTTGGGCGTAAATTTATCAAGTTTTTTTTCCCCTGTATTTTTATGTTTTTCATAACACGCACGAAAAAAATTAATAGAAAAACCTAGGGGTTTCTCTAAAAAATCTATTGAATTTTTATTAGAACTCTGTAGGAATTCTCTTGAAGTTCTATTAGAATTTTATTGAAAAATTCTATTTTTTTGGCGCCATTTCTATAAACGATTATGCAACTTTAACGTGTCATTTTGTTAAGAGATATTTGACAGAAAAAAGTCAAAAGATTTTGATTTTTCTACAGCAATGCTTGGGCGTAAATTTATCAAGTTTTTTTTTCCCTGTATTTTTATTTGTTTTTCATAACACGCACGAAAAAAATTAATAGAAAAACCTAGGGGTTTCTCTAAAAAATCTATTGAATTTTTATTAGAACTCTGTAGGAATTCTCTTGAAGTTCTATTAGAATTCTATCGAAAAATTCTTTTTTTTTTGCGCCATTTCTATAGACGATTATGCAACTTTAACGTGTCGTTTTGTTAAGAGATATTTGACAGAAAAAAGTCAATAGATTTTGATTTTTCTATAGAAATGCTTGGGCGTAAATTTATCAAGTTTTTTTCCCTGTATTTTTATTTGTTTTTCATAACACGCACGAAAAATTTTTTTAGAAAAACCTAGGGGTTTCTCTAAAAAATCTATTGAATTTTTATTGGAATTCTGTAGGAATTCTCTTGAAGTTCTATTAGCATTCTATTAAAAAATTCCATTTGTTTTTGTAAACAAATTCCTTTGGAATGAAAAAGAATTCATGCCGAGGGTTTACAATAACGGAAAAAGAAGCTGAAAAAGGAAAAATATATCTTTTCATTTCAAAAAAACATCGAGATACAGTTGGAAAGATAGTACACCCGGGCCTTCAATTTGCGCAATTACAGAGCTTCCATCCGGAAGTAAAAACCATCTCACCTAGAGTAAAGAAGTAACTGTATGTTCCTAAAAATATCATCAGCATCGAAAGACTTCAACAGGTACTGCATTGTGTCATGTATGGTGACCAAATCCACGTGCTTCCACATCGGATGCCTCTTGATCCCCTCCTGAATCTCATCCGTATCCCTCCTGAGATGTTTCTTCAGCATTACAGCCATTTCTTCACCCTTGAACCGATGCATCCCCGTCCGGAGATACCGATCGAAGCTAACTTTGGAACTCCCCAAGATATTGACTGATGCATTGCCGATGCTCAAGTAACGGAGATATTCCATGCGCCGTTGGACCCCATCCTTTGTCAGAAGAATTTGAAGTAAGCTTGGATGATCAATTAATACTTTAAGTTCCGGTGTGGTTTTTATTATTTCTAAACCAACCTCGACTGCGTCCGCATTCATTAGGAGTATTCGGGGGGTCTTCAGCAGTTGTTCGGATGTTATTCCAAAATCCTCGAGGGCTTGCTTGGTGATGAGAACGCTGTGGTATTTTATTTTGAGTAGGCATAGATGATTTACTAGCAAGTGTCTGATGGGAACTCCACAAATCTCGGGGATGTGGGTCAATATCTGTCTGAGATCGCCTGATGACACGTATGAGAGACATTTCTTCTCTCGAATCTGGAGGGAATAAAAGACGTTGACAGGATTTTGTGATGTGATGTTGAGGCATCCAAGTGCATGTTTTAGTTAACATTGAATTGAACGATGATTCCCAAGGAAACTATTTCATTGGAGAACATAAAATTTACAAAAATTAATGATAATCTATTGAATTTTTATTGGTACTCTGTAGGAATTCTCTTGAAATTCTATTAGAATTCTATTGAAAAATTCTATTTGTTTCTGCGCCGTTTCTATAGACGAGTATGCAACTTTAACGTGTCATTTTGTTAAGAGATATTTAGAAGAAAGTCAATAGATTTTGATGTATTTTTATTTGTTTTTCATAACACGCACGAAAAAAATTAATAGAAAAACCTAAGGGTTTCTCTAAAAAATCTATTGATTTTTCATTGGAACTCTATAGGAATTCTCTTGAAGTTCTATTAGAATTCTATTGAAAAATTCTATTTGTTTTTGCGCCATTTCTATAGACGATTATAGAGAACACAAATTTTCCAAAGATTAATGATAACATGATTCAATGAATTGTGGGTCTCAGCACTTTGAGGAGAGGCTGATCATTCGCGGGGAGACAGTGACATTTCAGGATGAGAATATCTCTCATAAAATGAGGCTGAATGATAAATATTTCGTTCGAAGTTACAGGGTTGCTGTCACATCGTCATTGTATTCTATTTAAAAATTAATTTCTTGCATTGGAGTATTGAATAGCCGAAACGACAAATAAATAGCAATTTCGTTGAACGATTCGTACAAATTTTTCGAACTAAAAATGTAGCTTTTTGGGTCTTGTTTTGCGTCAAACAAACATTTTTCCAGACCAAAACGGGCATTCAAGTGCTGAAAACGAGATTTTTTGCTTGTACAGAAAATAACAATTTACTGGAACAACCAAATGCATTTCTCAAATGTTTGAGACATGGTAATCATCAACAGTGAATTTTTTTTTCGCAGAAAAATTCCAAAACACGATTCTAGGACAGTTTTTCCCCGGACAAAATTTCCCGGACAAAATCTCCCTGAAAAAGGAATTTGCGATTAGGAAACCGGATCCGGCCAAAATAAATATAACGATAATGCTCAATTAAAGGGGTTTTTATTACTGAATCGCACAATAGAACACATGAAATTATCGAGTCTTTAGCCTCAATGAAATTACAAAAGAATTAAATTCATACGGATTGTTATTTGCGGAAAATTTACCCCTCAGAAGACTCGTTGAAAGGAATTTTTTCGAGGAAATTTCGCAAAAAGCAATTGTCCGGGGAGATTTTGTCCGGAGAAATTTTTTTCAGGGAGACTTTGTCCGGGGAAAAACTGTCCGACTACCCCAAAACACTTGGATACCCTCAATTACCACCTAAAGAAGACTATTTACCGATTGCACGGACATGCCAAGCTCATCATGGAGAATATCGAAGCACATTCGCAGCCTCGAGAAACTTTTGTACCTCAATTTAGTGACCATGGCTTGTAACAACCTGTGGTTGGTGTCCGGTATCTCTAGTCTCCACTTCAGCCAGTGGATCAAACACCGCTTTCTGTATTCTTTGACGGTCATGTAGTCGTTCACGTCAGTTAGAGCTGGAACGTCTGGGGGAGGTTCGTGGAGGTGGGAGTACAGATTTTCGGATATAACAGCATCATTTGGTATTTTCGTGTAGGCTTTGAACGTCGCGACGTGGGCTCTCGATGCACACCTGGATCAATCGTTCTTTATTTCACTATCACGTATGGAAAAATTCAATAGAAAAATATAGCGCTTTCTGTAAGAAATTATGTTGAATTCCCATTGGAACTCGATAAGAACTCTATTGGAATTCTGTTACAATTTTATTGAAAGATTCTGTCTGTTTTCTGCAGCAATTCGATTGAAAAATGATGGAATGCCTCTCCGCGTTTTTTAATAGATCTTTGTTTATTATTTATTTATAATTTATTCCGTTAGGCTTTTCAGTACTGCGTATGGAAAAAATTTAATAAAAGATCCTATTTTATTGAATATAAATTCTATTGGTTTATGAGAACAACGAGAAAGCTGCTCAGTTTTCGTGGCGTTATTAACAATTGAAAATAATTCATCATTTTAAATTGTTCATAATTACTCTTGCTTGTCACGTATCGAAATATTTGATTCTGTCTTCTATGAAAAATTCCAATACGACTTACGTTCTCAGCATTCCAGTTGAAATGTACTGCGCGCCCATCTCCTTCAACAATAAAATCCTATTCACTAAATCGTCCTCGCTCAACTCCAGGAACTTCAGATCACGAACGCTGTCCTGCAGGTCCACATCTTCCTTCTGCCCTCAACAGATTGAAATTAAAATGAAAATAGTTTTTCTACACGAATTCCATTAAAGAATTGTATTTCTTGGATCAATTCTATTGATGATTACAAAACTTTGCTGCGATATTTTGTTAATAAAAAGACAAAAGACAAAATTTAACAGATTTCCCCAGAAATAGAGGTCAAGCAATATCCAAACTGGAGCTCTCACCTGACATATATCACAGTTCCTGACAATCCTCTGTTGATCAATGCCAATAATACGCATGTTATTCCTGAGGAGGAAACCCGCGTGGTCCCTGTCCATCCCAAGATTGTCCGCCACCAATTGTTTATAAATTTTAAAATCCGTCGAGTAGAACCCCATGAAGCATTCCCTCCACCTGGACTGAAGTTTTGAATACATCCTCACGCAACAGCAATAGTCATGCTTCAAATTGCCAGCCAATAGAACTCTAGTTGTCACTACTCGGTGCATATTTCCTCGGGTCACGAAGTCATTTTTGTTTTCCAACAAATTGACACTATCGTTTTGATAACGTTATTACTCTCACTCAAAACAGCACGCATGGGATTTCTCCATTAAAATTCTCGGGCCAGGTTAGGTTCCGCAGGAAAATCTAACCTTGAGGGTCGATTGAAGTATTTACAATTAAATGTCTATGTTTACAATTGGGGAGTAGTTGTTGCAAAACTGAAACAGATGGCAGCGGAACGTCAGCCATTCCATTGGCCAAAGGAATCACGCACGAAAAAATTCAATAGAAAAACCTAGCGATTTCGCTTGCCCTCGCAATCTTTCGTGTCACATATTGACCAATCAGAATTAAGGATTAACGGTCAGGCAGTTTCGAGATATTTCGATAGAAAACAACTTCACGTTTCTTTCATCTTTAGTAAAATGGGATTTCACCGATGAAATCGGTGGATATATCGCAGCGCCGAAAACGGAATTTCCGGAAACTCGAAGCCGCTTCAGTAAACAAGAGGAGAATATTTTCGAGGAGAAGCTGACTCTCTTCATCTCGTGGGGCACGTGCTGACGATTCTGAGGGGAGTGAGAAGCCTAGCCAATCGAGAATAGTTTCAGCTGAAATTAATATTCTTCCTTCTTTCTCTCGTTGAGCCGCCCTCAGGACTGGAGAACGCGAGTGGAACTTGTAAGTGGATATTTCAGATATTTGGTGGAGTAAAGGTCGTTATATTGGAGGTTACATACGTATATTTTGGCATTTATCTCTGCAAGAGACACTGAGTATTGCGACTTGTTGGAAAAAGTTTTTTTATTCAGGGAGTTGCTTCGGTTTTTAAGAGTTGGGGATTGTTTTCGAGGGATTGAGATACATGAGGATGTAATCATGGTAGGGGGAATGGTTCAGTGGTGATGGGGGGTTGTGATGACAAGGGTGATGAGCAATGTATTGTTGCAGGGGCTCCTGTGACGTTCTTGGAAGTGGAGACACTACGTGGGTTTGGAGGGGTTTGAGCTGAACTCGACGATAGCAGAGACGTTCGCAACTCGAGATGTCGATAATGGAGTCCAGACTCAGTGGTATGTATGGAAGTTTTCAAGATATTAGGGGGGGGGGGGGGAAAA